GAAGGTGTGCAAATAACTGTTCATCCTACGAAAGTTGACCACTAATACATGTTGGATAAAGGTATCACACGGTCAGGTTACTGTAATCGCACTCTGCGTCACACTGATCTCCGTTTCGCTGTCGCGGCGGCAGTGTGGCCCTCGTCTTTCCGTCCGACCTCCAGATCACCCAGCTACAGTTAATTTCATATATACGTGGTGTTCCTATTGACGGGATATACTCCAGGTATTGGTAAGTGTAGTACTGTATGTCTATGTATGTAAGCAACCGGGCGCACAGCGTTACACCTTGAAATGGCACCCCTCGAAGTAACAAAGCCGGCGTTACGCGTTACATTGGTAAAATTAGCAACCGCAACCCGACCAGTAAGTACCCATGCGCTTCTACATATGATCCTTCCATATTAGGGATGCAAAGAAGCACTCTACAATATAATACTTGATTTTTAACTGCTGAGATATATTGACGGAATAATATTCGTAGCTAAATCCCACCAAAAATCGAATTTTTGACGAGCGTTACACTTCCCCGGAGAAGACAACAACCTCTGCGTTACGCGTTACCAAGTGCGCTCCGGGTAACGCAACGGAGGCTGCGTTACGCGTTACGTCGCTTACATACATAGACATACAGTAACGGAAGCGATTCTGAAAAGCTGGCACTGGCTGGCGTTACAACAGGATTGCATAGTTATTCCGCTTGCCCTGGAGCAGCACGGTCTTCCTGCGGAATCGCTCCTGCTCCTGAGAGTCCGGCGCACTCTTGCGATAGAGCCAGTAAGCCATCTTACCGCCATCTTTCCACCGGCTCTTTATTTCAGCAAAACCGAGTGCATTCATGAGGGCTCTGAGGTGGTCCATTGTGAGGTACCGAGAATTACGAACACAGGGCAGAGGAAGCTGGCGATATACAGATCTGTATTTCAGTTTGCTATACGTGCAAACAGAACAACTCACCGCGAGGAAAAGCAAGCCATCCGGCCGTAACATAGTACGAGCAAGCCTGAGCATGCGACCTGCAGAATAGAGGTGGTACGGCTGTTGATTCGTTCAGCATTTGCAAGCCAGCGTGCTCACCTCTGTCATGAGCGTCGGGGACGAAATTGAGGACCAGACTTAGACTTATTAGGTCCCATTTTTCTGCGTGCTCGACTTCGTCCATTTGAAGAAAGTCCTGTTCGCGGATGGAGGGATGCTGAGAGTGGAGGTCGATGGGTGTAACTTCGATCCACGAAGAGCAAGAAGCATAGTTGTCGGGTTTCAGTGCACCGACCTCCAGCAATCTACTCGGAAGTCATACAAGCATTACGGTCACTCATGGAACGCTGCAACGCAACTGACGGACATACATACTTGACTTTAGACTTCACTCCGATATTGTTCAAACCTTCTTCCTTCAACCACTGGATGAACACCTTTTCGCTCCCTCCTCCTCGATCACTGCCCTGGCCGATAGTGGACATCTTTTGGTACGCGTCCAACCCGCCAAGATTCGCTATTTCCTGGTCTATTTCGGCCAGGGCTTGCGAATTGGCTGGACTAGCCTTCTGCTTTTCGAGCTGGACTTTACTTCTGAGTAGGTAATGGAATCTCCTGATCACAGCTCTGCTAGAACTCTTGTTCGCCGACGCGAGCGGGCGCCCCTCGCTTGCGCTGACCACAGGAGTCTTCCTTTTACGAGTCCTAGCCATGGTGAGAGCTGATAGACCGAGGGAATAGAAACTGCTGCTGTAATGAAAATTGGACCAGCCGGGAACCAGTATGTATGTGGTAGCAGATGAAAGATCCCTGGACCAATCATTACACGGTAATCGCTATTGGTCCCACCACAAGTGAACGTTGAGGGTCGAGCCTGCTACTTACTTGGTTGCCTATGTCTGACGTCGTTACAATTCCGTTGAGATTGCCTTCCGTCATCCGATACCTCTTAGTCTAGAACGAATACAGATAAAATACATGCCAGGACAACCGGGACGAAGAAACAATCTGAAGTTCTAGCGGAACAATATTAAATCGCTCGAGAAAGGACTGACAATGAAGTGGGAAAGCAGAAAGTACGTGTCTGATTATGCTTTCTGCATATACGGTACTTGCCCAGGCAGAGTGCGTATATGCTTAGGCCCACCCTCGGGTATCGTTTACACGAAACCACGCCCTCCACGCTTGGCGTCGATTCTCTTGAATCGTTCTTCCTCTTGACGCTGAGATGTTTATCAGCATACAGCCTTGACAGAAAGGAGGTATAAGTACGTACCTTCTTGATTACGCAAAGAGAGGCTAGGAAAAGACAGATGACAACCGCCATGAAACCGTAGACCTGTGTGTAGGTGTGAGCGTCATGTTACCCTTTCTGCTGGATCGATCTTACGGAGCTAGAAGATAAGGATGAGAATATGATAAGGCAGGTACAGTGCGTTAGGACGTACGTGAAAACGTTGTTGAGCGATGCATCGGCAAAGGAGGTGATAGGGGTGACACAGGCACCTGTCCAATCTTTCGTAGTATTGTCAAGCTTGAGGAAGCCATCAACGAATGTTTGGTTCGCGCAGAATTGACCGCCAAGAACGAGGTGGTCTGAGCCATTGAAGTAGCCGCAGCACTTCAACTACGGGCAGAGGAAGGTCAGACTTAGTTTCCATTCAAGTGTAGAAGTCTCGCCTTGTCTTGAATCTGAATGATGGTGTCATCCGTGAGCTTGGAATAAACTTCGTGATAGTTGTTGCGCTCTTCGAGAGTGTAGAACCATACGAAAGTGCCGATCACGGCGATCCCAATGGCGTCCAAGACCAAGAACCAGTTCAGAATGACAAGTCCGGACGTAACATGATTGCGCTGGACAATTGCTCCGATCGAGACGGCAAATGTCAGCAAGAGGGATACGCCGAGCACAGTTCCCGCTGCAGGCGCCATGAGTGCCTCCATATTTCATTTAATATGCCACAACACGTACCGGTCAAATCCCCTTTGCTGAAAACCAGATTCAAGAGAAGGTTGGGAGCCCGCCAAACAATTGAGAACGCGAGTGCGATGACGCCTGACACGAGGAGACAGAAGTCGACGAAAGCCCAAACGCCCGTCAATTTCTTCGAGACCATTTTGCTCCGCTAGAACTTATACAGGGCTTGAAACGTCCAACCGTTACATTCTCAGACCGTTGACATAGCTTAGGCAAACTCACGGATTAAAGGACAGAAAATGGCAGGCAGCCAGTGGGTTGAACCGGGTGGATGTGAATATCTGCTCTCCCAGAGAGTCCGATCGGTACCAGACTTGGCCGGCGAGGAAGGGAAATGAAGACGGAAAAGAGACGATCAACGTCCTGACCTGCGCCTCTGGCAAGACAGAGAAGGGTAAGAAAGAGAAACGAAGGATAAGGGTGAAGGTGACGGACTTGCTACTCGCCTTTCAGAGCCAGCAATGGGAATGATGGCCGGCCACCCGCAGTAAGACTCTGTTGTCGGGTCTATGGTCTCCATGGACACCGTGCGACTATTACAGATTCGGCTCGTCGGCAGTCTATAGTTACTCTAACACATGTTCTATCTTCCCTGAGTATCATGTATTCTGACATAGTTTAAGGCTGTCTAGGTGTCATCTCGTCGTATTTACAGCGGCTACACAGTCTGCCCCTATTTCGAATGCCTAGTTTACATAGTGTCGATAAAACAATCCCACTGCGAATAAATCATGAGCGTGTACTTACCACCACTACCTCCCCTTGGCAAGGACTTTCTTCAACTCGGCGTTCTGCTTCTCCAGAGCCTCGATCTTCGTCTCAGCGGCTTTCATCTTCTTGAACAGATAGGCAGCCCTGGCCGACGATGCGCTCCTCCACTCTAACCAGTGATTCGGATCAGATCCCAGCTGCTTCAGAACCGTCAGTTCCTCTTCGCACGCTCGAATGGTAGCCTCCGCGCCCGCCAGCGCCTTCTCATTCAAAGTGATGTCCTGAGTGGCCTGGAAGATGCGATCTTTCGGTAGAGATGCGTCAGTGATGGATGTACAGCCAAGGGAGATAGTTGTTACTAACCGTTGACTAAACGCTCGAAGACATATTTATATACCGGCTTTCCTGGCCTAATCGTCGAAGGCCGACCTGGATGCACAGTTGTGGAACCAGTACTTACAGAATCCCTTCGGAACACCTACCGTTGCGAGTAGTAATGGAGATCAATTCAGCATGTTCCATGTTCCTCAGAGCAGCCTCGTTGTCTTTGAAGGGAGAATCCATGAGGACCTCGTGATAGGCAACCTACGAGAGCACGGAACATCAGAATCATGACGATGCTGCAGACACGTCTTTGCACATACCTCCGTCTCTTTTGACAGGCGTTTCAAGATAGACCATGCTTGCTCCCGTGTCCACGGAAGATTCTTAACATCATCCGCGTCCTCGCCGAAGGCATTCTTCCGAAGTTCGGCGACTCCGCGATCAATAATGTCTTCGACAGCCTCCTCAACATCCTGACCACTGCGGACTTTGTGGATAAGCTGGGAATGGAAATCAGCAATATGCCAGACGTCCGCCGTGCTGACCTACAGTTTCCAGATCGCTCGCACGTCCACCCAGCCGCTCTACATACGCCGTCTGTTGTTTGGTGAATGTGTAATCTAGCCCGGCGTCGCGAAGCTTTTGCTGTACGAAGGACAGCGCGCTTGCCGTGTCTGCATCTTCCAAGGCGACGGACGTGAGAGGCTTCGTCGGCAGCGCTATGAAACGCAAATGAGTTAAAGACCTGTCTCGCAGACTGTTCTGAGTCTTGTCTTCCCACCTTTCGTCAACGACTTGGCATTTTCACGATTGTCGCTGACAACAATGACATGCGCGACCTGGGACAAAATAAGACTTCTCACATGCCACCGCCCAATCCCTCACATGCGCACTCACCTGGCTCTCAGCCAATGTCGCCGCCCACTGAGCCAAGACATTCACAACCTCTTCCTTACCCCCGCCTTTGGACTCGAAGTTCTTCAGGATAACGATCGGTAATGATTCCACAGCCTGCACATCCTCGATACTCTTCTGCTGCCTCTCCGCTTCCTTCCTGCTCTCATCCTTCTGCTTCCTCTCTTCCTCGCTATCGGCTTGGCCTACGGTAGCGGCCATGTCGTAGTCCGGGTCCATAGTCTCGTCGCCGATACCGAGCTCGGACATTACACCATTGCCTGCAATACAGTCAAGTCTCGGGTCATGCCATTCACCATTCTCGATCCGCTCTCGCTTCCTCGCCTCCTCCAGCCTCCGCTGCTCTTGCAATTGCGCATTCTTCACTTGCCGCTGGATGTTCTGGCGATACGAGGCACTCACTTTGCGCAGGGCCGTGCCTGTCACCTCCAGAACTTGCTTCACCTGATCGGTCAGACTCGTACTGAATCCAGCTGCGATGCGACGGTCTTAGTTCGACACATACCAGCAGACGCATAATCCTAACCTTTTTGTCCAATAAGGCCTACGCTGGCCATATCGATTAAGCTGTTGAGCGAGTCCATGAAGCGGAAGACAGGCCAATAGCCGGTCTGGTCTGCCAAGGACGCAACGAGGTTAATATCAGAATTTGCCTTGAACAATTGAGAACAGTCGATGATCAAGGCTTTGCTACAGAACCGATCAGTTTCTGACGCTTTCCGACAGCAGTCTGCACTCACCGCCCGGTCTCGTTCAGGATCTTGGTGAGCATAGTCGACTTTCCACTACCTTGAGGACCATGTACGAAGGCGACCGAAGCTGCAGAAGATGCTCAGCCGCGTCGCATTTTATCCAATGAATCGACCTACATGGCATTTCAGACAAGTAACGCGAGACCGCATCCTCCGCATCCTCTCTCTCCTTCCATACATTCCCGGTGGTTTGTGAACGCCCGCCGTCGGGTACTGACGACAGCGCGAACCGTTCCACGGTGTTGGCGCGCACCCACCTGTATATCCGCGACTCTACAAGTAGACCTTAGTAAGATGGACACGGCGGGGTTAATTACACGAACGTTTGTAGTCGAACCAGTCCTGCACTTTGCCCTGAATCATAAATGCTCGTATTGGGTCGAATACCTGGTCGACAATATTAGGATACTGAGTATCCATAGCTGAATCGACTAACTCACAGTGTAGGTGAGCGTCCCAAGGAAGAACACAACGATTGGGAGGACTATTCTGGGATGACTGAAGATCCAGTCCCGTATAACGTGGGCTTGGAGCGGCTCCCGGTAACCGAGGCGAAGGATCGTTCTGCCCCCTGACGGAGTCGATGGGATAGCAAGACCGTGGATGACATTCTTAGCGATGGTAGCCGAGCGAACTTGGTTGTAAAAAATGGTACTGAAGCGAAGAGACCCGGCTGGAACAGGAGAAGGGTTGCGTAGATCTTGCATGCGACCAAATGGCTTCCAGGATCCTTTAAAGTCAGATGGGGAGCTGTGCTCACGATCTCAGACACTGCTCACTCTCAAGAGTCTGTACAAAGACTCTTCCGGCACGTCAGGCCCCTCAAAAGCCACCGTGAGCATAGGGGAGGCAAATCTGTGCATATCCTGGATGAATAATAAGCTACCATATGATTGGTAGAACGTAGAGGGAGGTACCTCTCTCCAAGGATGACCTTTGACGAGCCAGATACTGCCTCGGCTTACACCACTCCATGAAGGCACACCGCCCTGCTTGGCAGCCTGATCCCTGACATGCTTCTCGATATCCTCCAAGGTAGATGATCCCTCCGACGCGTTGTATCGAAAATGAATGAACACTCCTCCGTCCTTGAAATGTGGTTCCAGAGAGACGAGCTCGAAGCCGTGAGCATTGACACCTTGGAGGATATGTTTGAGCTTGGCGAGGATGGTCTCCTCACGAAAGATCCCAATGTAGTGCCGAAGACTTCATTTAACAGCATGAGGACAGGGTCAGAACGCAGGCCGGGTACGGATACGACATTGGACACGAACTCCCAAGTGGCCAAGCGGACAGGAAACACTGAATCTGCAAACAACCATGCTTCTGCGGCCTTGGCAGGGTGAGCCAGGCGTCGCGAGCACGATGCAATCACTGATCACCTTCTTCTCCTCCTCCGGACGAGATACGGGTGGGGTGGCACTACTAGAACTCGATGTCGCGGAGGAACCAGCGGCATCTGCGAGACATCTTCGGGTGTTGATTCGAGCATCCCTCAGAAAAACAACTCTTCTGCATAACAATGCATCTCTGCGGAGGGACAGCATGTCCAAGATGAAAGCCTTGACCTCAGGTACGCATTCCAAGTTTCCAGCCGTGCCGACAGGAGTGCGTCTGCCAAAGTACAAGACGCGTTCTCAGACTGACGTCACGTCTCCGAAATATGTCCGAGTTTGGGATAATCAGGGCCGATATTATTGCAAATAAAGACATGCCAGAGTCAAAATAAATATATTACTGCCATAACGGGCAAGGCGTGGAAAACAAACAAACGGAACGGGTCGCGGTGCGGGTTCGAGCCTCGGCGCGTCAGCGTGCCACCAGTGACTATCCTCCGGCCATGCTGCCTCTCAGCGCAAGGAGCCCTCGCTCGCGCACACACACGTCCCGCAGACCTCTTCCGCGCAAGGCGATGCAGCTCTCTCGCCCCGGCTCTGTCTCCATCATAAGCTCCCTTAAAAGTTTCGTGACAGCGCCTTTGGGGTGGTTCAGCACCGATGAGGAGGAGGCTACACCAGGCAAGAGAAAACACCTCGAAGCAGATTCCGGCGACACCGATATCCCTCATGATCTGTCCCAGAGAACTGACAGAGATCCCAAGCGCAGACGCCTCGAGTTGAATCGATCCTCCTCCGCCTACTTGGATCCGGCCCCGTCGATGTTCTCGCACAATGTCGCCTCTGTCCCGCCCGCCACAAAAGCTACGCTCCCTGTGAGACCTACAGCGTCGGCGCTGAAACGGAAGGAGAGGCTCCGTACACCGCCGCCTGCAGTGGACGAACCGAAGCCCTCTCAGGTGTTCACGAAGAAGGATCGCACCATATCGCCCCTACCAGCGCGAGCCGCCTCGTCTGAGCAACCTGCCACGCTCGGTCGTACGATGTCCGTTGATCCGCCTCATCTGCGTTCTTCTATGTCTATCGATGCCCCGCCTCTCCGCTCTGCCATGTCTGTCGACCCGCCGTCTCGCGATGTCAGCATGCTGTCTATCCCTGCCCGTCCATCGGTAGGGACCCCTGCGCTGGGAGACGATATTCCGCGGAGTAGGTCGCTTGCAAGTCTGGGGCGTGACACGTCCATGGCTCATTCTAGCGCGTCTATTGGCCCTTCCGCCTCATCCTTCCGCGTTCGGCCTTCACTAACCCCCCAGCCTTCGGGACCCGCTTTTGGGCCTAATCCTTACGTGCAGAAAGACGAAACCCCGAAACTACAATCTTTCTTTGCGCCGCAAGGCACTCGGCCATTCTTCGCGAAACCAGGAGAGGAGGGGGACCCGAATGTGCAACCTCAGATGACACTCGGTGCCTTTGCCGAAACGCAGCCTCATGTACGTTGGCTTCTTCTTACTATGCTAGCTGTTCCTTCATCTCGTTTTGCAGAAGCTCGCCCGACCACGCCCTTATTCTTCTCTTCTGATTGGCGTGCCTCGACCTGATTCAACTTCTAAGCCGCACCCTGATTCGTCTCACGATGCTTCTTCTGGCAGTATGTCTTTCCTTGGATTTCGTGCACTTTCTCTCTTGTTAAACATGTATATATCTCAGGCACTGAAGCTGCTCGAAAAGCTTTGTATGAGCGTGACGAATACAGGAAGCCGCTTGTGGCATCTCGTCTGCGACACGTTTCGGACAGCTTCAGATCAAAGCAGCTATCTCTGGCAGATGACCTAAGTAAAGAGTGGCTGGGTATGCCGAGAGAGGGTAAAGAAAAAGCTCCTGTCGGCGGAACGAAGCCCTATGCAGGCACCGGAGGTATGAAGAAACTGTTGGCGCGACGGAGGGAAGAGAAGGAAAGAGAGGAGAAAGAGAGGGCGGAGAAGGTTGCGCTCGAAGAAAGGGGCAAAGAAAATGCGACCCCGAAGGCGACGGCCGAGAATAAGAAGGAAACAGCTATAGGCACTGACGAGAATCCGGTGGATAAGACGATCGTCGTCACTGTCCAGGACCAATCGGAGTCACTGCAGGTAAAGGACGTGGAGCCGTTATCCGAAGATAATTTCGTTGTTCGACCTCTCGAAGAACAAGAAGGCTCGTCCCTCCGCATAGGTAGGACGAGGAACTTCCGGGGTCACATTGACAGGCCTTGGGGGGCGCGACCGAAGAATCGTTTCTCTGCAGCCGCTCAGGATGACGATGAGGACCAGATGTCCACAACTCCCATCGGCGAAAGCTCCAAGTCGAAGAGCGATGCATCGCCAGAGAAGCCCACGCCTACGCTGTTTGCTCCTCCAGCTGGCTTCTCTTTCGCGAAAGAGGTGAGATCGTCGTGAAGTTTCTTGCCTAGCCACGGATGATGCTGATTGCGTGTTTAGGCACCTCCTATCGAGCAAGATATGTCAGCCAAGGAGCCCCCGATCTCTGCGCTACCCTTCTCCTTAAGCAAGTCTACAACTCCAGCCACTCCTACGCCAAGTACACCTGTGCCGGCTGAGAAGCCAGAAGGATCGAAGCCGCCGACTCTCAGCATCGTCACCCAACCTGGCCCTGCAAGCTTCAACAGCTTGTTTACGGCGAAAACCTCTGCTGCCACGAGCGCCCCTTCGCAGCCGTCCAGTGAGGCGGCAGCCCCTGAGAAGGCTGCAGCCGCCGAAGCTGACTCGAACAAAAATGAGAAACCTGCGAGCGAGTCATCCGTGCCGAATTTCTTTGCGTCGTCGTCCTTACTGTCTAAGCCGGTTGCGCCTCTGCCGAGCGCGCCGCTCAGCCTCTTTGGTGCCAAACCGCAGTCTCTGCCCTCATTAGAGACAGCAGCGCCCGCTAAGCCATCTGGATTTGGATCGTTTTCCATTGGCACACCACAGCCAGCATCGACTTCGACGAAGGATACCTCAGAACCCTCGAACAACGCCGGGTCAGCCGAGACTAATGCGCCTCCCGCGCCGGCTGCAGAACCATCTGCGCCGAAAGAGACTCCAGGTCTGTCGATTTTCGGCGCCGCTAAGAGCGCCGACGCACCTGCCCCATCGCTCTTTGGTGCCCCAACGAAGCCGACGGAGTCGTCAGCTTCGAGCCTCTTTGCTCCGAAACCCGTGGCTACAGACGCGACGAAACCCGCATTCGGATCCCTCTTTGGTACGCAAGCGAAGACGCCCGAGCAGGGTACTTCTAGCACACCCGTTCCAAACTTATTTGGGGCGAAGCCGAGTACTCCTCAGCCCACTGAGACGACTGCTACCCCAGTGCCAGAAGTCCCCAAACCAGCGTCGCCTTTCGACACCGCCTCGACACCAACGCCCTCCCTTTTTGCTGGTTTTGGAAACACGGCTCCGACAACACCTGCGGCCCCTGCTACACCCGTTGCCAAACAGCCGTTTTCGTTCGGTCAGAACGTCTCCTCCACTCCGGCAGGCTCTCCTCCTCCTCAAGCGGCCAAGTTCAGCTTCGGAACGTCTGGTACCTCTTTGTTTGGTAAAACCGACGATGCTGCAGCGCCGGAGAAGAAGGATGAAGCGAAGAGCCCATTCTCATTTGGCGCTGCGCCTTCAACACCTCCACCTGCAAGTGACAAGCCCGCGTTTTCATTCGGAACGGCTGCTGCTGCCTCTGCGCCGGCCACTGCCAGCGAGCCGCCTAAGCTATTTGGTGGATTCGGCGCTCCGGCCCAACCTCCGAAAGCTGTTACTCCGCCTAGGGAACAAGAGATGAAGATGGATGAGAGTCCGATACGTGATACAACGAGTCAGGTGGAAAGACCTAAGCCGCTGGGCTTCAGCTTCAGCGCAGGTGCTACTAGTTCTGCTCCGCTGTTTGGTCAAAATAGTCCTGCTACGCCAACATCGTTTTCTGCTGGAGCCTCACCGGCGACGACCTCGGGGTTCGGATTTGGGCAGAAGCCACCGGAGACATCTACCACGACTTCTGGATTTTCGTTTGGGGACAAAGCGGGAGGAAATACCGCGCCATCATCCAGTGGCTTTGCGGGATTCGGGGCGAGCACCACTCCAACGCAGCCCTCGTCATCGTCTGGTTTCTCTTTCAAGTTTGGTGAGCAAAATCAGCAACCGGCGGCATTCACATTCGCAGATACGTCCAGCATACGAAATCCGTTCGCAGGGCTAAGTCGGACTGCTAGCTCAAGCTCAGCTCCAAGTAGCCCGGCGACGTACACTCAAGGGTCTGGTTTCGGTTTCGGTGCTCCCAATCCTGGCAACGTTACATTCGGCGCCAGTAATCCGGCCTCACCGGCGATTGCTAACCCTGCCCCACCGCAGCCCAGCGTAGCATTCCCTACACCTGGTATGGGTATGGGATCGACTCTACCCGCACCATCGACCAATCCCTTTGAGCTCCCGCCTCGACCGGGGGTGCCACCCCCACGCCCTACCAAGAAGCTTCCTTCACGGCGTAAGCGGTGAGCGCCTCCATGAGTGCTGGCCATTGAAAGACTTCCCCTCATATATTCTGTCTATCTCGTTTTCATTTTATCTTCACTGGAGCCTCTACTTTGCATCTCTGAAATCATCCCTGTCCGGTTCATAGCACACATTCATCTATCAGTCCGTCCATCACAATTATCCTCATTCTTGCACAATAGTTCGACTTTCAACTGTAGCTCCACATCTCTCAATCAGGGGTCATTGTCGTAGTATATTTCATCGTTGGCTCAAGGCCATACCAATACATAGTAGGGCTGATTTCGTGTGCCGCCGGCAACTATCTGAATCGCCATATTGACATGTACCGGATGTACAGCTTTGACACAGCATTGGATCTTCGATCCTCGACGATTATCGAGGCCCGTGTGGCTGGGACTCAACTTCTCTCGAAACGACAAAGCCGGTCCATTATCTGCATAACTCTTCGAGTTTCATTTGAAGGGCGTGCCCAAATACAAGTCAAACTGGATTCCGACATTGGGCGATTCGTCGCATCCTGAGCATTGCAGCGTGCTACCGGTGGATAGCCACGGCGTACGCGATCACGTATGAACCACCGTGCCATGTGCGCCAATATGCTCTGAAGGCTTCTGCCAGGTGATTCTATGCCAGAAGTTTGAATGTGAACGGCATCTCCAGGATGGCGTGAGTCAGCGTTGGTTCGGATGGGACAGTGGGATCAAGAGTCGCTGTATATAAGTGCGACATGCAAACGTGGCTGACTGCCCAGGTGTTCCTTGGACCGGTCCAGCATGTTGCCTGCACTACCCTTGACTTTTCTTGCTGTTTGCTCCGGCGTTTCCAGCCAAGATGTACGAAGCAATTCCCACCCGCTTCAGCTGACGGCTCGAAAGGCTCCACGAGGTTCAGCCTTGAGACGTAGAGCTTTGTCTGCTGCCAATCTACCTTTGAATGATTTCTTCAAAGGGACTGACCTGCAGTGAGCTGGCTGCGCCAATATACACCTACAAGTTGGACTAACGACGCCTAGGTGGTATGGTAACATATCTGGTCTGTAATCTACTCGGGTCATGCTTTAGACATGTTATGTCTCATGAATTAATGCAGTCGGCACGCCGCCTCAGGATTTCACGGTATGTCGTGCGACATCCCGTACCTTCGCCTTACTAACGACAGCGCTGTAAGGTGGTGTTCGACACTGGCAGTTACACCCTCGAGTTCCCTAGTACGCGGTCTGTTCTGCTGCATATCCTCTTGACCTTATTCTATCCTAAGGCACTGCATGTGGGGACGCGTGCAAGAACCAACACCAGTTCGATGCGTCTGCCAGCTCGACGTTTGTCGACACTGGACGCACCGACACGCTGACTTTCTCCACCGGCGTCGGGGTCGACCCGGTGCAGGGCGATAACTATCAGCTCCAAGTACGCAGCGGCAACGACAGTGTGACTGTCGCCGGCTTAACTGTGAACAACACCGAACTATGGGTTATCACAAACCAAACTGAGGCGTTCTCTATTGACCCATTTGATGGCATACAAGGCGAGCTCATATATTTGTTGTAGCTGGTGCGATCTGACCTTTATACGATTGTAGGGATGAGCTCTGATGCTTACGGTGTCTTTGGCGCTCTCATCGACCAAGGCTTGCCATGTACGCACTCGGCTGCTTATAACTTGACCAGCTAGGGTTTATGTTCCTTTTAGCCCTCTTTGGGTTGTATCTCACTCCCAAGGCTGTCGGCAATGCTGAACTCACCCTCGGTGGCATCGACGAAAGCAAGTTCGATGGTAGGCTTCAACGCTCAATTGTGAGACATGCCATTCCTCACTGCTGTCTTTGCAGGCCCTTTGACCTACGCTCCTCTTACCAGTGATGCCTACGGGTCGTGGGTATTGGAGTGGCGCGGGGCATCCGTCAACGGCCAAACGACTAGGGCGCTCCAGGAACGATGGGAGGTAATATTCGACAGCGGGACCAGCAACGCCGTCTTCGACACCAATACTACGGAGGTAAGTAACCTTACTCCCTTCTAAATTGGCGGGGCAGCTCATCGCGTGCTCTCCCTAGGAAATATATGCCCTCATCTCGCCTGACATTAAGCCCTTCGCTGACGAGCCCGGTGCCTACGGCATCGCTTGTAGCAAGATCGACTCCCTGCCCGCCGTCCTGGACCTCACTTTCACTTCAACCAATGGGACGCCGTTCAACCTGACGGTGCCCAGCAGCGAGCTCAATGTCGGCCCGTTCGCGAGCGACCCGTCAACTTGCCAGACGTTCATCAATGCGGGGGATTTTGGGGCCCAGCTGATCGGGGGGAGTCTGCTCAAGCATTATTACAGCGTTTGGGACATCGGAAACCAGCGCATGGGTTTCGCGACTCGCAAGTAAGCACTTGGCGGCTCGTGGAAGCTGGAACACCCAAGTTATACTCCTCGAGTATATTCAGTTGCTGGCTCAAGGCCATAATGATAGTTTCGTGGCTTCGCTATAGTCTTACGCGAAAATATACAACGAACTTCGCACGAGGACAAGCAGGCAGGTCAAGCAACTCCAACGAATGTCGCATGTCCGGGCATCTCGTCGGGCTCTGTTGTAATCACGGGAAGGAACCTCCATGGCCATTCCGCCAGTCCCTCGTCATTCCATCTACGTCCCTCCAACTCTTCAGCAGAGTCCTCCTCAGACTAGCCACTCCAGTGTCAGGGGATAGATATTCATGAGAGACGTCGTTCATCATCTCCTCCGCGTTTCGACGGTCGCCCGGGGCGAAAGGCTGGTTCCACATCGAGAATATATACGTGTCGGGCTCGGGAGATGTATGCTGCGTGCGTGCCAGTGCAAATATCTGAGTGTGCAGTCCTTGTGGTATCAAGCAAGATATACGTACCGCAGTGATCTCGTGCAGTTCCCGTTGTATCGACAGACAAAAGCCGTCCAAATCTGGTTATACACAATCGACATGCTTAGTACGAGCCGGACGCGTCCAAACAATACAATGCTTAGAGACTTACCGAGGTCGTTATCGTCATAATTGAAGGGATTCTCTCTGAAACACAATTAGTATTGAAGAGTAGCTTTGTGCCTGATCCCCGTACATTTCCTGTCCGATCTCCAAAAAACCTAAGAGCAGGAAAGAAGCGAATGCAGTTGCACTACGAAGATGAGACACAGAGTGGGTGCACGACGATGAGATACAGCTTACGGGATGGTAAGGTATTTAAAGGCGGAATAGATTTGGAACTGTAACTCCTTCTGTTATATGCCGGGAGGGATGATCTGGTCACTGGAGACTGACCGGTAGGAAAAATAAGTACAGCCTGTATGCCTCCTTCAGCGACAGAAAGAGTAGACGCTCCACATTTGACAGCTCACCATATGGTCATCCTCAGGTGAGCCTGGTACGCGAACGGCAGGGGAGTGCTCCGAATTCTTTCAAGATTAGTGACGGCTTCCTGTAAACTGGCAATATTGTTTGTGATTCCCGTCGCGATGGCCGGGGTCAGGTATCCTTTCTTCAGTAGCCATGCTAAGTAGCTGCTGAGAAACAGCGTAATCTCTAGGGGTATATTGGATTCAATGGAGATGCTGGTCGGACGAGGATGCCGCCAACCGCCTCGTTTCCCGCCAGTGAAGAGTACTCGGAATATATCAACAACTGAGGATCCGGGAGGATTACGTGCCGGTAGCAAGGGTTTGTCGCTGGGGACATAAGGCAGAGCTTTCTCTGGGTCGAACGTATCTCGCCGCTTGCGCCGTCCGATGCGATTACTCGTAGCTGCTGAAGCCTCCGGCCCAGGATCGGACTGTACTTTTGTGGCCTGCGGTAGATGCAAAGGCTTATCTGAGGATTCAGCCGGCGTATTGACCATATTCGAAGCTTTCCATAGGGGTAGCATGTCGGCATCAGATGGCCGCTCCGGTGGATGAGTTGCGTATCGAGGTAGAAAGCAAACCAGCGGATAAAGGTCTTCGTAATATATACCCGCCTCCCCACGTAGAAAATGCTGACGACCGAGAGTTGCAGTTCAAGCGTCTACATCCACGACAAGATATGCTCACCTTGACTGAAACACTGAATGCCTGGATCTAAGAGAGATTTATGAAGTGACTGTAGGAGGTGCATGCCACACCTACCAAGTTGATCATAGTTTTCTTCTCGATCACAGCCGACAGGAGCTGCTTCTGTTTTTTGGTTTTCTCATCATCCTGAGCGTCGCTCCCAGCTGACCCATCCTTGCTGTCTTTCTGTTTATCGGCTTCAGGCTTATCGCTGGACCCATCTGTTTTCTTTTTATCTGGATCCTCACGCTCAATTGGGACGTGATTCCAAATCTACGTCTGAAGTTAACCTGATAAGCTCGCGGTACTACAAGATTTTCTCACCATGTGCGCTAGGTTTCGAGAGGCCAACAGAATACTTGTCCAGAGTTTTCGGCCCTCCTGATACCTGCAACTCAACAGTCAGCTCATTTCTTGACCCAGTGCTGAGCATTGTGACCGTTCATATGCGGACGATGTCCGGAACGATACAACCAAGCCGAGCACTGTTCCAAGGACCGTCAACATCTGGTTGGATATGGCGAGGGACGTTGTTGTCATATCTGACACTAGAGACACCACTGGTGAATTCGAAGATGGAGGCATGAATATACTTCAGAGAAATCGTGAGGAGAACTGGCCATTACTTGTTGCGATAAGCGTGAAGAATAAAACCTGGGGCCATATGTCGACAATGACGGTAGCCTTCAGTTTCTTCAGGCTGAGTCGGAGCAGAAAGAAGGGGTCCTGAGGGACGACATGCATGGCGTATGCGTCCTGGGGTCTCCTTGTACAAGATACTCAGGGTGTTTTGCACCAAGGCGCTACTAGTACAGTGAAGTTGGAGAAACGGAGCGGGTCTCAAGACCGCGACTGTCGGATTTTATAGCCCATGAGGCCCACACGAAGACGGTTACCCGGGGAGAATTGCTGATGGAGGCCGCACACGCAGCGCAACGTCTGTGGATTCTAGATGCTAGCCATACGTAGTGGCCAACTTGAACGAGGTCATGCCAAGCGCGAACGGAAGCATAATGAGCTCACGTGGAATATGTGGCGTTGAGGCCCTTGCACCAAGAACCTTGTCTCCATTCAGCAGACCCGGTCCAACACCAGGACGTGGCAACAGCGAGCTATATAATATAGATAACCCAGATACAAGGAAAGATGCATATAGAAAATTTTGTTGTAATGCGAGATTCGTACTAGAGCAATGACCACGTCGACAATAAACAGATATTGCAGTATGCAAGAGGATGACAGGACTGGAGGGGCAACTGGAGAGTTAATAAGCTTCATTAAAGAGGTAAAAGAATGTGAAGGGAGGCACGAGCAATTTATCAAACCGCAAGACAAACGTCCCATTCATATACTGGCGGATCTGCGTCCAGCAGGTCTTCCAAAATCTAATACTGAGCCGATCTTCCGCGTGAGCGTAGTTTGCTTTAAATTTCCAGAGGTTCATGAGACCTAGCCTCAAGCCCGCCGCGAGGTTGAGTATCCGTTAGCGTCCTTTCACGTCGAGTGCCAAAACCAACGGCGGCGGGTCCCCGAGGCTGGCGTACAACCCCGCTGGCTGGGCCTTCATTTCCATTCACCGCGCCCGCCACACTCGCGGGTAAGCTGGGAACGGGCGGAATGGAGCCGCTGTTACCGAATGCGTTCGAGTTTCCGAAGAGAGAGCCGAACCCGCCAGGAGAACGACGCGAGGGTGAGGCTATCGTGGCGTAGCCTTCGCGGATGTTGCCATTGGAAGAACGAGTCGTCAGACGAGGGGCCTGCGACCGCAAGGTGGTCATATCAGGCATTGACTTCTTGGAACGAAGGAGACTCGCGTGAGTCTGCGACGAGCTTGTGGGTGAGAGATAGGCAGACGGGGCACGGGAAAGCGTGTGCCTGCCGGCCTGCTGGCGCTACAAGGACAGACGCATTAGTGGACGAATAGCAAGGTGAACAAGCTCCTTACAGTAGCAGGATCAATACGAGTGACAACGGCGAATCTTTCCTCTCCTTCACCAACAGAGTAATGGTATACGCCTAGTCTCTGAGCCACCAAATGAACGATTCTCCTTTGCTTCGGAGACAACTGCCTCGAGAATGCGAGTTCATCTCGCATGGGATCATCCTTAAAGAGCAGGATTCTCGAATAAATTTCCAGGGTGGCGGGATCATTCATGTCCAATTCGTTAGAACTATTACCCTTGGCAGATGAGCCCGGAGTGGTGGGCTGCATAGGGGGAGGACTGGCGTTGTTGTAAGGCTGGGGCACGGGCATAGGAGGGGCGACCGGAGGGGAGGGGTAAGACTGCGAAGACGGGTAACCACCGGAGAACGAGCGAGAGGGACTAAAGGTAGGAGCGATAATTGCACCGAACTCGTCGTACCCTTGTTGGGGCTGCTGGTTGACGCCGGCCATCGCAGCCTCCTTTTCAAGCTGCATCGACTTCATGCGCCGGATTGCCTTCTCTCGTTCGATCCTCTCTTTCTCACCTGCCTGGAGGACCTTCTTGTATTCGACGCGGAGCTTTCTCCCTTGAACGTCAAACCCGTTGAGGGCTGCAACCACGGCATCAGCGTCGGCCGCTTGGCGGAAATTCGCGAAAGCCAATCCGCGGAATTGACCCGATTGGTCAAGGTGATAATTGAAGGCGTAGGGCGTAGGGATAGCAAGCGACGCCTACGTGATCCACGTTTAGTAGGACTAATGGACATAACAGCGAATACTAACAATGATATCGAGGAGGGTTTCGCGCTTGACATTAAACGGTATGTTCTTGATGACAATAGCATTTGGTATAATATCGTCATCCAAGCCTCCTCCAGGGGTGCCTGGAGTCATAGCCGAAGAACCCATGTACTGAGGGGGGGGAGAGCCGGAGGAGGACAAATCCGAATTATTGTTGGGCGAAAGGGAGCGGACGTCAGCGCCGCCAGCATTATCCATCCATTGCTGCCGATGCATGTCAGGGTGATAGCGCAGGGAGAGAACATGGAGAGTCACGTACGGTAGGCAACCCAGCACGAGCGGGCTTCTTGAGCGGGGACTGACTCATGCCGAGAGGGTTGTACTGGGACTGGGCCGGGATGGGAGGCGAAGTAGAGAAGTAGTTGGACCTGTTGCCGCCGCTGTTGCCCTCGTAATCATAAGAATCATGAAGACGTTGCTGGGAATTCTGAGAGAGTGACAGGGCAGAGATATCCGGGATAGATGGGGAGCTCGTCATGATGTCCTTGGAATTGTACAATGGTCCGGTGGATATGGTCAGAAATTACTTCGTCAGAGGCGCCTTGCAGAGATTCCCAGCGGGTTAGAGAATGGTCAGTGGAAGAAGAGAACGGTGTTGATGGAAAAGGAATAAGACGCCACGACCCCGTCTGGTTTCTCCTCTATATCTGATTTTGCACACCGCCTAGCCACGAGGCTGCGGCATCTACAACGGGGCCAAACAATTTTGCTTGACAGTACTGTAGTCTACAGTAGCGGCAGTACTTATAACTGGTGCACTACTAGTACAACCTCGTCTCGATCCTGTTATCGTAAACACATCGCGTTTGCCTCTCCCGGAGGGTACGCTGGCGGTACCGACTCGGTGCTATAGCATCCGGTACTCGCGTCCTAGATCATCATCCACCCAAATCCCGTTGCAGGACTGACAGCTGCAGGTTTCGGCGCAGCGAGCAATGTATCGACGTTAAGGGGCACCACAATACTCCTCGAATGATCCCAAGGGCCGGGAACGAACTTGCTGCCGCTGCTCGATGTCGGGGAAGGCGACCTTGTAACAGGAGTCGGGCTGGGTTCCATGCCAGCCATGCCAGGAATGATCAGAGCTGGTAAACTCGCATGACTCCTATGCCCCAGATGTGACACGGCGCCCATTGCGGGCTCGGGATTTCTGGTGTGGGATGACATGGTATCTGCCTTTGTCCGCGGTCGGGGGCTTGGGCCCCGCAACATTGACGGAGGCTGAAATGTCGGATTCGGGAGCGAAGGCAGGACATGCTTAGGCTGCCCGCGGGGAGGGGTCGGGCCCGGTACGAGTCTAAGAGCCGAAGGCGGGGGTCGACGGGGCATGGCCTCAACGAGACGAATCACCGACAAACGAGAGTGCTGTGCCCGGAGATAGACTTAGCATGACACCTTGTGCTCTGACTTGATTACATACTGGTAAACGCTGTAGGAAGACCGCGCAGAACCTCAAATTATGACCACCTGGATCGGATCAATCGCCGCAAATTATGTGACTATAATGCTGGGATCCTGCCCAGTGCAAGAAAGATAGCGTGAAGAGGAGAAAGAGTCAACGACGACCGCAGCAACGAGGATGTCAACGACCTTGCAACGACCTGGTAGGCCTACCCTGGGCGGTGGCATCAGTATCAGTCCTTCAATTATGTAATCTCCGGCCGGACGATGCCGGAGACAGTGACCGGTTGACCGCTGACGCACTACGGCGTGACGGCGATCACCTATAAGAATCGGAAGTGCGGGGAAATCGAGTCAAACGTATCCATTCATCTTTCGCCACGGTTTTCGCTTGCGTTCAATCTCTTATACCACATAGAATCGACATGAGCGGCGCAGAGGAATGGGACAGCAAGACCGTCATCGGTTTCAAAGCCAAGGCGCCCAAAGTCACTAGAAACACGTCGGACTTGAATGGTACGTGTCCGTGGCGTGTGCTGTGTAAAATCTAGCTGAGAGCCCGGAAGCTGCGCGTCGAGCTGGCGCTGTCGTCGCAACCGACAAGAAGGTGACTGCTGGGACTAACAAGGCCCACGCAAGCACCGACCATCAAAGAATAGCCAAACTAGATCGCGAAAACGAAGTCGCACCTCCCCCCAAGATCTCGCCGACAGTCGGAAAGGTTCGTGATTAGGCGATCAATTGGCTGTCTGCTTACCGTTACATGCTGTCTTCGTATATCAGGCAATTCAGAAGGGACGAATGGACCTGGGCCTGACCCAGAAAGACCTGGCGCAGAAGATCAATGAGAAACCCTCTGTGCTTCAGGACTATGAAGCTGGGAAGGCGATCCCCAATCCTCAGGTGCTTGGAAAGCTCGAGCGAGCGCTTGGCATCAAGCTGAGAGGTGCGCATTGATTGAGGGCTTGCGTGACTAGTATTGACAGTATCGTCACGCACAGGTAGCGACATTGGGAAGAAGCTGGAGAGGCCAAAGAAATCGTGATTTGACCTCTCCGTAGTCGCACCATGTCCTCACGATTATGGACATTGCATACTGCTTGTTATATAGAGTTACATGTACCATCATCACCAATGCTATCCTCCCATCGTGCCAAAATCGTACGGCAGAGTCCTACAAGTGTCCCTAGAATGAGACTGGTCGACGTGCTATGACGCCTGGTCATCGTTTGGCGTGCCCTGGGGTGAGGAAATCACAAGTCAGCGTTTGAAAGACGTGACGCGCCACTTACATAGGCAATGTAATCGGGGCTTTCGCAAGCCTTGTATTCTTTGAGGAGCTCCTCCGCCGTGGCACTAATAGTCGCGTTCAGGCACGAAATGCGCTGGGCATAGAGCTATGCTCGCTCACCGTGCATCATCAAACTCGTCGAGCCCATTTTCAAACACCCTCTCTTTCTTATACTGGTCCAAGAATGCGTTGCGTTTCCTCAGTCGATCGTATTGATCTAACATGCGTTTAAAAAGCTGATATGGTCGCAAGTATGAGAGCACTACTTCATGATTAAACAGGCATGGACTCACAGAGGCAATACTGGTGTGGTTAGCCAGCATCAAGCCACTGACTCGATGACTTGTTGCAACGTATGGAGATCTGCGCGTTAGAGCCACTTGGATTGACGCTGGACCCCATGGGATGAAATTTGCCAGCTGACGCTCGCGTATCCGTAACAGGGATTGGTGTACCTACGAATGACAGTGTTCAGGGGCAGCAGAGAGCGGCAGCGAGGGGACGCACGTCGTTTGATTCAACCTCGCCTTGGATGATATTGAGGATGGATATGTAGCAAGCTGTCTTGCTGGGTGTGGTTAATACCATCCGGTTCTTCGGCTGGAGGAGTCGACGCATGACGTCCAACACAGTTGTCCGTCTAATCGGCTTGGCCTGATAAATGGCACAGTAAGACCAGATCTCGCTTGAAGAGCTAAAAATATACCTTGTCAATCTGGTCACTCGTGAAGGGGGTATATGAGGTCATGAGGAAGTGACAACGCGGGGTTGGAATGAGAGACGCGATTATACCAACGAGATCATTATTCATGTATCCCGGGTACCGCAATGTTTGCGTGCTAGCTGCCATAACGGTGGAGACCTGGAGGATAACAGTGAGTCATTGCTAAGGAAAGCAAAGGCTACCTTACAAGCTGGTTTGTTTGATCGAATGTGGGGGTTTGGACATGTAGACGATCCGCCGAAATCCGAGCAAGGGCGCCGTTATCCAAGACAACGACGGAGTCGGCATGATTGGTCAAGCGCTTTAAGGTCAAGAGTGAGTTGTACGGTTGAACCACTACATCTCCTTCTTGCGCATTTGGGAACACCGAGTAGGTTTGAATGAGCTTCTTCGGAAATTTGTCGTTCAGCCGTTCCAGGAGGAAAGAGCCCAATCCAGATCCAGTCCCTCCTGCTATGGAGTGCATGAGCATAAAGCCCTAAGGAAGTATAGTAAGTAACTTCGGATCGGGCAAAGGCGCATTTATTCACCTCTAATGAATCGCTGCCCTCCGCCTCTCGGTCAACCATCTCCATGACCTCTTCATATATTCGCTCTCCGGCAGCATAGCCATGCGCCCAGTTATTGCCTGCACCACCACCATCCTTGCTAACGAAGATATTCTCTGGATTATATAGATTGGCAAACGGGGAGGACAAGATGTTATTGATGACCTATCCCAGGATCAGGGCCCGCGCTCAGACAAGGAAACGCTCAGTATGCGAACGTACGCGGGGCTCCAGATCGACCAGGATGGCGCGAGGAATATAGTGTTCGTCATCTGCTTGGTAGAAGAACACATCTTTTCTGTCGCCCCCTTCAGTTGCCCACTCTTCCAGAATGCCTTCTTTGCTGATACCATGTTCGGCGCAGAGGCGTTGCCAGAATACGGATCCCACTTATAGTCCGCCCGACTTAGAGATCAGACCGTTCGAGAATCCAGACAAACTCGCGCGCACTTTGGTTGCCGCATTGCCCTAGCTGAACTGTCACTATCTCGCGAGGCATGCAGGGTACAGTCTACGGCACGTCGACGAGATGGCGTCCTCTGCTGCCAGCTTGAAGCCTCGACCGTAGGCGCGTGGAGAACGAAGAGTCACGGTCACGTACGCGTCGGTCACATTGGCGTGCCAAGCAGCCTCCAATCTCCTCGATACTCGGTACTCATGCATTCACATACAGGCATAACGAGAACGAACACGAGTTATCTATGTTCGACTTCTCTAGGAGCCGGACTGACAATACTAATTAGTCACTCAGCTGAGCAAACATAGGGTATGGGAGCGCAAGAGACAGAAGGTCAGTTATCCGAAAGGATGTCTTTCAACCCGAGCCAGTACTCCTTGTCCAGGCGGTCCTCCATCTCCTCCTTGGTGAGCCAAGCGTAGTCAAGCACGTTGGTACCATCTGGCCGTACTTGTCCAGCCAAAATGTGGGCCTTGTAGAAGAAAATATGTCGCTATGAATTCCATGTCAGCGAACTACTTGAATCGATGGCACCCTGTCTTCAAACTTACAGGTGACACCTGGTTGGATGTACTGGAACGGTACAAGCCTATGGGGTTTCGGCTCACTATCCAGGTGTCCATGCGTATGCCACACTCCGTTAACAGGTTCCGCTCGGCAGACTACAGTGACGCAAAGGGTCAGCAGGGTGCCAGTGGACAGAACAATTACTAACTTCATGCAACACTTCGCCTTTCTGTAGCCCACCCTCCGGAAGGCGCCATACTTGTCGGTCGTCCAACTTTTTCAGCAACAGGAGATAAAGATTCCTCTCGCCCTTTCTCTCTAAGCTCCTGACATCATTCGTCCGATCAGCTTCGCCTCTGCGAGGGATCTTCTCTTCCTCTTCCCGATCCAAGGCTTCGGCAACACTCTCCTTGGCGTTCTGTGATTTGTTCTCCGAGCCTTCCTGGCTCTCGGAAATCCCAAAGGGCGCACCAAATGCCATACGCTCCCTTCTTCTTTCCTCTGCATTGAATTTGGACTCTAGAAGGGAGCCCTGCTTGAAGTAGAACTCGTACGGGAACGGATTATGCAATGCCCGCTGGATACGCTGCTGGTAAGCATAGAATGCTTGCTCGAACCGCGACAGGGGACGCGTCAGGAAGGGCGAGCGGTTTAGGATGACAGACGTCCTGATAGTGTCATAAATTTTGACCTTGCCAACAGTGGGCGTCGATTCGGCTGGTATCGTTACTGAACCCGACGAAACTTCCGTGGCAAGGCACCTGGGACGTATCAGACCTGGAGAACGCCATTAAACAAGACATATCAGTATATATGGCGCGGCATACCATGTTTTGGCCTAGGTAACCGTGGTCGACATGAAGAACAGCGAGGAAGAGCAGACATAGAGATCCTGGGGCTGAGGCTCAAGATTCAAAACATGGCACTTCCTATTCTGGCGATCCTAGTAGACAGCGCGACCGTGGGCTGAAATTGCCTCCGAAGGGAATGCCCCTTTAGTACATTGACGTTGACAGTACTAACTGCAGACATAGACTTGCTACCTCTTGATCACAGCAAGCTATACCTCAATTGCTTTACCAGTGTTGGCTGCAATGTCTGTTCAACTGGTTTCCAATGCCTGGCTGGATGGCGAGACTGCTAAGATTCGATCTAAGCCGGTGCCATGGGAGGTACGGAACTGAAGAGCTGCTGCATAGATAGATGCATCTTGAACGGAGTAATCCACAGGGTTATCAGCGAGCAGGCCTAGTCACTCCAGAAGAGCTGGTTCTCATCAAGAAAGTCGATAGACAACCTCGTGCCAAAGCAGAAAGCATCTTACTCTCCGATGGGCCGACCTATGCCTCCCTGTACCTTGGCCTACTGAAGAAGCTCCAGCGACCTGATACAATGCAGTGTATCTTGATTCTTATTGGTGATGCACTGGCTGGTATGTGGAACTTTGATCCTTGAATGAGTGTTCTCAAGACCTGCTGCCCAGATCATGACGAACGTATACCCCTGTTCACGAGAGCCGGGGAGACCGATACTGAATTACCTTACGGGCCCCTCCTGAGGTACGTTGTCGAGTTTCTCATTACATCCGATCAATTCTCACCTGACAGGATAGGATATTGAATACTCCGGACGATTTCGTGCAATTGAAGACAGCACAGATCCTTGCCGTGCTGCTTAGGTAGGTCCTCACAATGCAACTGGACGCGTCTCCGCTCACATGCGTCGCATTCCAGCGCGGAGGCTAAGCCTCTCCCTTCGCATATCCTGCACTCCTTCATCACCACTCTTGTCTCTTTAATTCAGTCTGGCAGTAACAACCACAAAGACGTGGCAGTCCAGTGTCTTGAAGCTCTCCTGCCCCGGCCAGAAGCTCGCATCGCTGTGTGGAATACCCCTTCCTGCATTTCTAGGTCAGGATTATGTATAAGGGAGTATGGTCATAGCGTAATTGACGGGGTATGGTCTTCTCCAGTCTAGTCGGCATCCTACGTGGCAATCCTGGCCCTCAAATGAGCTATCAAGTGATATTTTGTTTCTGGCTGTTGACATTTGAACAAGATATCGCGGAACAAATTAATAAGTACGGGACATCCAAGAAGCGACTTCTCTTCCCCGTTGTTTACTACATCTTACACAGGAAGTATGATATTATCCCTCTTCTGACTGAAGTTGCGCAGACAGCAGTGAAAGAGAAGGTTATACGAGTGGTGGTATCCACTTTCCGAGTTGAGTTGCTTCGACCCTTCTCGCGCCGTAAGGACGAACCAGCGACGCTGACCTCAGTATAGAATCTGATCGCAAAAGCCCCCTCAGCTAACCTTCCGTCAATGCTTGTCGCCCAGTTATTACCATTTATGAAGAACCTCTCCACGCGCAAATGGTCCGACGAAGATATCTTAGAGGATGTCCAGTTCCTGCGAGATGAACTGAAGTCTAGATTCGACAGCTTAACGTGAGATTTCGGATTTATCCATGGTACGGCTAAGGATGTCCCTCTGATCCATCGCAGGAACTACGATGAATATACTTCGGAACTGGCGTCTGGTCACCTATCATGGACACCTGTCCATGAATCAGAGGTCTTCTGGAAAGAGAACGCGACTAAACTAAATGAGAAAGACTATGAGCAACTCAAGTAAGCTGGCCGATTCCGGGATTCCAATATTGCAATATTGATATTTTGTATCAGGACGCTGGTACGACTATTGAAGGAATCATCAGACGCACTGGTTCTGGCTGTCGCTGCCCACGACCTAGGCCAGTACGTCAAACACTACGAGCGGGGCAAGAAGTAAGTCTCTTTTATAATTTGTGACACTCGGCGGAAGCTGACGGGCGATTTTTTCCTTTCATGACTATCAAGAGTTGTTACAGATTTAGGTGCTAAGACAAGAGTGATGGAACTCATGACACATCCGAACCCGGACGTGCGGTATCAGGCGTTGATATCAGTACAACGGCTCGTGAGCCAGCCTTGGGTCAGTGTATGACCTGACCAACCGTACCCAGCAGTATTTCACGCGTTCAGCTCTGTATGAGTCATGCATAGTATAGTCTGATACCTGTAGTTAAAAGAACTCATTCAGCGTATTTTAAGTCAGGTCTGTACCCATATTTCTGCAATATCTGACAATATCCGCAACTCGGAGACCGTCTTCACATCCTTCGAATCATCGTGGTGTTGTCCTCGTTCTTCCCATCGATCATTCTGTAACAAGATACGAATACCTCCTACTCTGGAGAAACCCTCGAGGAGCGGAAGATACGAGAGATCGAAATCTTGTGACGTCTGTACTCTGAGTGATTCGTCTGTGTTTGCTGCATCATTGCTCTGATCCTCGACAACCACTTCAGGCAACCTCAGACGCAGTGTTGGCAAAAAGATTGTAGACGGTCCAAGGAACACAATCGCCCGGGACCCTGGACTTTTCCCATCGGCGACAGGATCCACGATCGGAGGCGGCAATAGTAGATCATTGGCTGTTTCATCGACATCCACTGCTCTCGCACCAGGGTAAATCGGCTTCGGCGATTCCATAAGCTTGCGCTCAATTGACACGTAGTCAAGATTTACTTTCGATTGCGTTGCAGGTGATCGAGGTGTCGAAAATCCGGAAGAGGGCAGACGAGGACTGAAAATCTCAGGGATGACCACGGGTTTAGGGACAGGCGCCGAAGGCTGTATATGTTGGATGATTAGTGAGATAGCGCGTTCCTGTTGAGCACGCAGCGCGGGTATAGTGCAGGATACGGTAATAGTGCAAGCAATCCTGAAAGGTACCTCAAGCCGAATCGAATCGCGAGGTAGGGAGCGCACGACAAGGTCTACTTCAATATCCGTTGCGTGCGGCATCAGAGGGATCGGCTGATTTACACTGGTGACAGCCGGAGCTGAAGAGGGACCTGGGGACTGCGGCCTCGGGCTTATTGGACCACCAATAGTCCGACCTCGAAATGGTGATGCAGGTCTATAAGGTGCGGGGGGTGTACTCGGGCGTTCTTGAGGTAATTGTGGGGATCGGGGTCGAGGTGAGCCGACGGTGGAACCCCGCTGCAGATGCGGGGGTAAAGCAGATGCCGGCGGTTGGGGCGGTTGTGCTTGTACTAAAGGAATGCGTCGAGAGAGGGTCTGCGACGGTATCAGTGTGTCGTGAGGATGTCAAGAATTGGACTCTTGAAGACGTACCGAAGTCAGCAGCCGGCCAGGTTCGCCGAAGGAGGACCGCCATGATATGTCGAGACGGCCCAAAGGCATTACGGCGCCCGGAGGATGGTCCACGGGGAATCGTGGAAGCTGGGAAGGGGAAAGAATGTAGATATATTGTCTCATATCCTGAGGTTGCATAAGTTCCGAAGTAATGGTAAATATACTCTCGGGCTTATGGTCTTGCTGCGAAACCACGACGTTGGCGTCTTGAGCCGTCCAGCCTTCAGCGCACTCAAAATGTATCCGTTCAAACCACAATGCGTCCTGTGTCATATTTTGGATATGCACTTCTAAGAAGACACGATCTCGCTCCTCGCGAGAAAGCAGGGCCGAAGGTGAGCGCGGAGTATGTACTTTGGTTTTGACGGACAAAGGGTTAGTCACCTTGCGCGATCGGTAAGCAAGCTTGAGGGAGCATGACTCTTTGATGAATAACCCACAGCAAACTTGTAGAATTTCCTGAAACTTTGGGAAGGGTGGTCGTGTCCCGGTTCCCCATTCCCTGGGTGGACTTGGCCAGGTAGTGATCGATATGAGACCGTGCAAGCGAGAACGTGCTGACCCAGTTCCTTGATTTCGTGACTGACAATGTTCTCAAGAGTGTCGCCAACTGAAAGGCGAAACTGCGGCCCTCCGAATTCTCCGATTATGACTTTAGAAGTACCTGTTTGCATTTCCACTTTGAGAGTTACACCGTCCACGTCGACAGGCGCGTCGTTGTTAACGCATAGGCAGCTTGTGAACGTTTCACCAAGCTGTATCGCGCCGAAGGAGGACGGAAGGGTAAGAAGTTCCGTGGCATGTGTGAGGTCCCTCAGGGTCTTGGGGTGCCCTGGTAGAGGCTTGTCCCCTTGCAGAGATAGGATGGACGCTGTCGAGCGAGAAGAATACGATGGTGAACTCGAGAAGAATGGTTCCCATGCGCTGGCCACAGCCGGCCTCTAAGGAGCCCGATTCATGTCTGGCCAAATGGCATAAAACTCCAGCAACGCACTGAGACGCGCATCACTTTCAGCGACAATGGATGCGAAGGGGCCTCCATTCTGGCAATCGAGCCTATTCACCGTGACACCTTCCTCGACGATGGGTAGTGACGGTGGGAGATTGGAAGGCCAGTGCTCCAACGTGTGTGCTATACTCGAGGACCGGGCAGACTCACAACAGACTCTGACATCCCCTCTAGCATTAGATACCTAATTAGGTAGTCCTGGATCTAGTCTATGGTTCACCCTGATCGTTAACCTACCGCCACAACCAGTACGTTCTACTACTGATCCTTAACCTCACCTCATTGGCGGTCCTAACTGGTACACTCTATATGCAACCGTAATTCATTCGAATACTCTCAGCTGGGTGCGCACCAATCTTTATGGCAGCCATTGTCAGTCTCGCGCTTCTTCCCAGATCACTAATAGCTAGACCATTCATTAATTGTATGCCAAAGCCACGGCACGCCTCTCTACGGGATTAGGGAAGGTTCAATTTGCGCTTGCCAATATAATGTCCAAACGTCAGCTCGCCAACAAGCCATCTGCGTCCAGCCCGAGCCCTAAACGAAAGCGGACGAAGATCGCGGCTAACCAACAGAGTCTCGATAGCTTCTTTGGGGGAACATCTGCCGGCGTCGATGCATTGAGAAATCCGACAGCTAGCCCAGTTAAAGATAAAGGGAAAACTAGGCAGAATGACCATCAGAGGTCCGCTTCAGCAGCGCACTCTGCATCTCATCCAAAGCCCGCCGGCGTGGATATGCACAAAGATAGCGGGTCAAAGCAGCCTCACTTGCAGCATCCACAGAAATCAGCGAGACATGGGCTTGCTTATGAAGTCATAGATGTTGACGCATTTGACGATACTGTTGTTGAAGCAGGGCCGTCAAACGTTGGAACTGCTACAACACGGCAGCCGGACTATGACAGCGTCAAGCGAACCCCGAGTCCCTCAAAGTCCGAGAGAATTACAAAGACTAGGCCTGTGCGCGATGAAGGGGCAGTACTTCGTCCTAAGATCGAATCTGTCCCCCTGGAGACACCAAAATATGGACCATTAATCGTCAGTCCGTCCGTCTTTGAGGTGGACAGCAGGGTCTGGCCACCCAACAAGACGATCCCGTACTCTCTGCTAGCACATGCCCTGTCTACGCTCACGACAACAAGATCACGCATCACCATCCTCAATATCCTGACGAACACGCTGAGGGTTATCTTACAGGCACACCCGCCTTCACTGCTGCCTGCGTTGTATCTTTTGTCAAATACCCTGGCACCTGCGTATGATTCTGTTGAACTTGGTCTCGGCTATTCGGTCATCTTGAAGGCAATACAACATGTATCTGGCCTTTCATCTGGCGCCCTGAAGCGACTCTATACGAAAACAGGTGATCCTGGGGATGTTGCATTCGAAGCAAAATCCAACGTCCGCACGTTGGTGCCGCACCCGCCTCTCTTGATTACAGGTGTCTACGAGTCCCTAGTTCAAATCTCGAAGGCGAAGGGGCCGGGCGCCGCCAAACAGAAGCAATCCTTAGTCGAGAAACTACTGGTTGCTGCCAAAGGCGAAGAGGTTCGCTTCCTTGTTCGGACACTCTTTCAGAATCTCAGAGTAGGCGCTGTAAGGACAAGCATCTTGACTGCTCTCGCCCGAGCGATGGTTATGACACCTCCGGCGAGCATAAGAGACAGCATTGCCGCCGATTCACCTTATTATGCCTCCGATGATCTGGTAGCTGCAGTCAAACGTCTGTCCCTCAGTGATGGTAGCAATAAGAAGAAAATTGGAGACGTAGATAACCCCTTGAATCGCCTTTCTGAGAAATTTACCAATGCAGAAAGGTTGCTTAAGCAAGTATATGTCCAACATCCTAACTATGGTCACATCGCGAAGGCACTGGCTGAAGGTGGTCTAGAAGGTTTACCCGATCGTGTCCCTTTTACAGTCGGTGAGTTCTAACTTCGGGCCCCTCGTATGACATTGATCAAACGTACCTGACCTTCCTTAGGTATCCCACTTCTTCCTACTCTTGGCTCGCCAACTCGCTCGTTGGATGAGATATACGACAGACTTGAGGACTTGCCGTTCGCTGCCGAGTTCAAATATGACGGGCAACGCGCCCAGATACACGGATGGAAAAACGCCCCGGACGGCTCCGTAGCGGTGAAGATTTTCTCTAGGCATCTCGAAGACATGACAGAGAAGGCACGTATATCTACATCGCTGACCTCCTGTCATTCTTGACTCCTGACTCGGCACTTCGGTGACAGTATCCAGACATCGTTCAGCTAGTGCAAGACTTGTTTTTCTCCGACAGCAACCTTGAGTCTTTAATAATGGACACAGAAATTGTGGCAATAGATCCCGGCAACGGAGATTTGCGGACGTTCCAAGAATTATCTAACCGTGCTCGTAAAGATGTCCAAGTGAACGAGATCAAAGTTGTAGTGTGCGTGTTTGCTTTTGATTTGCTTTACTTGAACGGCCAGGTGAGACAGCTCGTATCCTTTATATATATACATATGTTGCTTTGTACGTCACCATTGACTATTTTTCGCTTTCGGTAGGTCATACTTCAAGAACCTTTCCGGGCACGGCGATCTCTTCTTCGCTCTAAGTTCCCTCCTGTGATTCCAGAATGGCGAGGTGCTGCTCGTTTGGATCACGTGAAGTCGGTCGATAGCGAAGCGGGCAGGGACGCAGTCGAGGAGTTTTGGCAAGAGGCTGTCGAAAGCCGTGTTGAAGGCTTAATGGTTAAGGTCCATGTCTCCTCTTGCTAAAGGATCAACCGCTTGCTGAAAATCGGATCTGGTTCAACCCTGCAGCTATTGGACAGTGGCCAGGTCTTGACAGATCCCAGTGACAAAAAGGACCGGCCACGACGGAAGCCTTTGCCAGCTACATACGAGCCAGGTAAGTTACTGGCAATACCAAAGCTCTGGTATCACGGTGGATTCATCCATTATAGACAAACGGACAGCTGCGTGGCTGAAGCTCAAGAAGGACTATGTAACGGGTCTCGGAGACAGTCTCGACCTGGTACCAATAGGAGGATGGCATGGTAATGGCCGTAAACACCAGTGGTGGAGCCCAATTCTGCTGGGGCTCTACAATCCGGCACTGGGCAAGCTTGTTGCTGTGTGCAAATGCATGTCCGGTCAGTACCTTGAGTGTTAAATATAAGGCGCTCATAAGTCGTTCTGCTTCTAGGCTTTTCGGATGTGTTTTATAAGGTACGTCCTGGTGTCCTGGACGCGTCCGTGAGTTGCTCAGGCATCCGTGAAGGCTTTAACCGAGAAATACGCTGATGGATCTGAGAACTGCTCGCGACAAAACCTCTGGGATGTTGAGACAGGAGGTACGTATGCGAAGGTCGTCTCCCTTACGTCGTCATGGCTTTTCATGCAATGCGTAGGTCTCAGGCCGCAGGTGTACTTCAAACCTCAAGAAGTCTGGGAGATCAGAGGTGCAGAGTGAGTGCTTTGAAGTGAATCTATCCCTTCGGAGGTTTGATTTCAACACCTTCCAAAGTGTGACTGTCAGCCCAGTCTCCGTGGCAGCACTGGGACTGGTGTCCGACTCCAGGGGTCTGAGTCTCCGATTTCCCCGATTCATGAAAGTCAGAGAAGATAAGAGTATTGAGCAGGCAAGCACTCCCGATTTTCTGGCAGGGATGTATAGAAGTCAGCAGGGCAAAGGTGGAAAGGGTGAAGGAGTCGATGACGGTGACCTACTGGATGCAAGCATGGAGTCCGAGCCCGAGGAATCGGAGATCGACCTTTCTGATTCTTGATCATTGGTTGAGTTGCATGTGCAGGTACGAACCTACCTATCTTAAGATTGTCTCAAGTTGTCCCCGAATCAACCGCTGAAGCACAGGGATATACGCTCGGCATTGAAGATGTTCTCGCTGGAGTTCGCCTAGAGCGGGTACTAGTAGGAGCTGGCGAGAGACACATCAAGCACATTTCCATCGCTCTTTACACGTACATAGGCCTAATAAATGCACTACGCGAGGTCGATTATTCAGTCGTATTGTCATGAGTGGAAGTGAAAGCAATGGAGAGCAGCAGACAGCATTACGACGAGTGGCACCTATGAAGGTATGGTATCAAGTATAAGGCGACGCAGATGGCCCAGCGATTCAGCCTCCGGGAAGAGAGCTTCCGCTCACAGAAGGGAAGATCTGCACGGTTGGATGGTTCATCTTGGTGTAATCCTTCGCAATGATTGGGCGATCCACATTCTCCTTCTTTCTCCCGCCCTTTTTCTGTTTTCGCCCTCCTCGTGTGTCGTCTACAGCATTGAGGTTGTATTTCCCCGATAGCGTACTTTGTGGGACTGTGCCGTCGCAATCTATGCATTCGCACTGCCTCCGGCTGCCTGAGGGCTTCATAGGACAATCTTCCACGAGCCACTTGGCATGGAGACACCATTCTGCTGGTGACTCGTACCTTCGTTTCCCACCTGATGGTTATGAGGTTTATAGGTCCGGAGATCGTAGCGTGAGGCATACCATAGAGATAACAATCACGTCGAGGTACATCCTTGTCGCCAGACAGACGAGTCATTAGGATATACCCAGGCGGGAACGACTTTAAGTAGCATTGAGCTGGGTCCAAGGACACTTCCGCAAGACGTAAATAAGAACCTCTGAAAGAGATCGATTATATTGAACTCACGGCCGTCCGCGCGAAGAGGATAGGCAGCCAGAAAGCGCCCTATCTTCTTTCTCCATAACTTCAGCTCTTTATCACTGGCTTTCACGAAATAGTCTACGTGACCATAGTCGTCCACTTTCCGTGTGGTTTGCGCATCGCTGGGCCATCGTGATATGTCGCCGTCGCTCCTCAGAAGGGTGATCTGAACAATCTCGGTATCTGGTATTGTTTCGACTTCGTACGTCGGCGCCTTCTTCCTCTTTCCCAAGCGCGCAGGTTCATAGCTCGAGGAAGTCAGAGTGTTATAGCTTTGGAAGGTATCAGTCGTCCGAGATCGGCGGTCCATGTCGACAGAAACGTCTATAGATAGAGTGGCACCGCTGTTGGCGCATACAGTAGACGCCCGATTGTAAAATGCAGTGCTGTACACGCGATCTTCGCCACAAAGAGATGATACAGTACCAAACTGCCAATGGCTTGGAACAACCCTCTATGTAGCTCGAGAGGCGTGATGCATTACATGTCATTAATATTGAATTCTAGACACACAGCCTCCGGAGCACGACTACTCAGCCATCTGTCTGAACTTCTCCTGAATCTCGTTATACAGCGCATCAAGCTTCTGCCTAATGGGTTCTTCTCCCTGTGAAGGAGACTAACGCCAGTATTAAGACCCATGCACACGTATCGTCGGGAAACGACTCACCTCAAACTTCATCTGCGAGAGCTTGAACATTAGATCACTAGCAGAGTCCCTGACCCTCGCAAAGGTCATATCCGTGGTGGTGACGAGCTTCACAGCCGTATCGTGGAACGCCACGAAATTCCGCAGCATTGCACTGGTCTTATAGAAGGGACAGTACCGGTCATACTCGCTCATGCCATTTTGCTGCAAGAAGTCATCCTTAAGCATGCGAGCCACTTCCAGGGTGATCTTGTCGTTCTCGCCAAGCGCACTCTTGCCGACGAGCTGGACAATTTCTGCGAGATCCTCTTCCTTCTGAAGAATCTCTTTGGCTTTCATACGCAACTCCACGAAGCCGGGCTCAGTCGCTTCGTAATGGGGTTCGAGGACCTTGGTGTACTTGGAGTAAGACTGACTCCAGTTGACAGAGGGAAAGTGCTTTCGCTGTGCCAACTTCTTATCGAGGCCCCAGAACACCTGCACGATACCGAGAGTGGCGGACGTGACAGGATCTGACATATCACCGCCGGGGGGAGAGACGCTGTCAAGCGGTCAGAACCATCCAGCACCCAAAACAATGGTCGTGCACTTACGCGCCAACAATCGAGACAGTACCCTGCCTGACAGGATTACCTAGACATGTGACTTTGCCTGCACGCTCGTAGAAACTGGCCAGTTTCGTTCCAAGGTACGCAGGATAACCGGAATCTGCGGGCATCTCCGCCAAACGACCAGAGATTTCACGAAGTGCCTCGGCCCAACGCGACGTCGAGTCCGCCATCATCGACACGTTCGTACCCTGGTCACGGAAGTACTCGGCGAGGGTGATACCGGTGTAAATGGAAGCTTCACGAGCAGCCACAGGCATATTCGACGTATTCGCGACCAAGGTAGTCCGCTTCATAATGGGTTCTTGACGGTTGCCAACTTCCATGGTTAACTCCGGGAACTAGTGGCATCCTATAAGACGCGTCATCGCCTCTTCAATGGGTCAGAGTAACTTACATCCATCAAGACTTCCGCCATCTGGCATGCCAGGTCAGTGAGATCTTCCCAATGTGAAGGCTTGCAACTTACTTCGTTACCACGTTCGCCACACCCAACATAGATGATAATGTCGCTGTTGGAGAACTTGGAGATAGCTTGTGAAATGACAGTCTTTCCACATCCGAAAGCACCGGGAATGGCAGTTGTCCCGCCTTGAACACAGCTGTGGGTCTGACATTGACATGGCGTATCATAGCAATATCGACAAATCCGCTTACGGGAAGAGAGCGTCCAGAATTCTTTGACCAGTAGTGAGAGGATAATCGGCTGTATGTTTCTCTGATACAGGCCGGGGTGCTCGTACTGGCCAGAGCTGCATCATCGTGTGCTGAGTCTTCTTTCCTTCGAACTCTGTCTCCAACACGACGTCCTATACGGCTGTTAACATCGAGCACATGTGCTCAGCTGGGATACTTACATCCACGGCATAGCTGCCTTTCTCGGCGATGTGTGTGATGGTACCGAGGGCTCTGGGCCCTAACATAATCTTGTGGTTATCTACTAGCGAGTTTTCATATACCCGACCGAAGATATCACCACCCGTTATGTGATCGCCGACCTGCAGAAGATGAGCTACTGCGGCAAACTAAAATGCTGGAGGCCTTACTTTATAGTTCACTGGTGAGAAGTCCCACTTCAACGACCGATCCAGGGCAGTGGTATTAATTCCACGGGGTATATAGATGGATTTCGAGAGTTCTTGGATGGACTGGGACATATAAATTATGAAAGGGCTGATCGAAGAGAGATGCACATACACGAAGCGGTCGTTGGATTCCATCGACGATGTTACCCATCAGACCTATACTCAGGGGTCAGCGTATTTGCTTTGGTAAGTATCCGTCCTTCGAACCTGGACCGAGCTCAACACTCAGCGGCTTCCCTGTTCGTAGCACAGGGTCTCCTACTGTTACTCCTGACGTCTCCTCGTACACTTGAATCGTCGCCTTGTCCGCATCGATACGAATGACCTCTAGAATACAGTCAGTACTGAAATCACTCTCCGTTTGGTGTTATTACCTCCGACTAGTTCATCGTGCCCGACGCGCACCAATTCATACATGGCCGACCCGGTCATGTTCTCCGCGATGACCACAGGACCGGAGACACCAAAGACTTGACCGAAACGCGATTCACGGTCTTCATCCCTGATCTTGGGCAGGTCCCTCTTTGCGTTTGGTAGTGCGCCGGCCATGATGGAAGTGAAGCAAGAGGGATGACGGTGATAGATGCCAACTCCTAGGTAAGTGTCGTAACAAGTCACGGTCTGGCAGTGGCAGACGAATGACCATATTGACCAGTCGACCAGACCCAGATTTTCCATTTGTGTATATATCGCTTTAGACCTGTAGACCCGTAGTTTCCATAAAGGGGCATAACTGGGATATCTGTCCCAGTCTGCGCGAGCTTAGATCACGCATGGATTGACGGACGCGTCATTGACCACTGACGCGTCCTTCCACCCGTTAGCTACATATTCGTCTCAACTACATCCTCACTTACATCGCAATGCCTCCCAAAGCGTACGTGTTGACGATACTTCTATGTTTGTTCACCTCTGATATCACCTTGTAGTGACTGGGAAAAGTGTCAGTGCCCAGTGCCTAGAAGCTATACAAGCTTTACTCACTTTTGTGCAGGGGAAAAGAAGGCTGACGGCAAAGACGAGGAGAAGATTGTCGGTACGTGCCTTTCTGCCTCTGTTATGTTTCCTTTGCCTGATCGCGCTGTAGCTCTTGATGATAGCGACATTCAAATCCTGAAGACATACGTAGGTTCCATGCTCGGTCATCTCGTCCTGGAGGCTGAATGTGTTGTAGGGGCAAGGACCGTATGCGGCGCAACTGAAGCAGATAGAGAATGATATAAAGGAAGTGCAGAAGCGAATTAACGAAAAGCTTGGTGAGTGCATCAGCCCTTGAGCGCAGGTGATTTCCGAGCATGACACCACCCCAGGCGTCAAGGAGTCGGACACAGGTTTGGCATCACCAAATCTATGGGATCTCGCTGCCGACCGACAAAGGATGGCTGAGGAACATCCATTGCAAGTCGCTCGCTGTACGAAGATCATTCCCATGGACCCTAAAGCTGCTGAGGCTGCCCGCGCCGTGAATCCATTGGGGGGCTTGCAAGGTCAGAAAGGTGCTGACGAGCAAGACAAGTATGTCATCAATATCAAGCAGATTGCGAAGTTTGTTGTTGGTCTGGGTGACCGCGTCGCCCCGACAGATATTGAGGAGGGCATGCGAGTTGGGTAAGTTGTTGTGCACATTGCCTGCTCATAAAATTCTGATACTCTATGTCCAGCGTGGACCGTAACAAGTATCAGATCCAAATACCGTTGCCTCCCAAGATCGACGCTTCCGTCACGATGATGCAGGTAGAGGAAAAGCCGGATGTCACCTACTCAGATGTCGGTGGCTGCAAGGAGCAAATTGAGAAACTCCGGGAAGTCGTCGAGACCCCTCTACTGCATGTGAGTTTCCTTGTTCTCTGAGCATCAGAGGTGACACTCACCACTCAAAAGCCCGAGCGGTTTGTCAGCCTGGGTATCGACCCGCCAAAAGGTGTTCTATTATATGGTCCTCCCGGAACTGGCAAGACTCTGTGTGCTCGTGCTGTCGCGAACCGGACAGATGCGACATTCATTCGAGTTATCGGATCAGAGCTTGTGCAGAAGTATGTCGGTGAGGGAGCTCGGATGGTAAGAGAACTGTTCGAGATGGCTCGGAGTAAGAAGGCCTGCATCATCTTCTTCGATGAAGTTGATGCCATTGGTGGTGCCCGTTTCGATGATGGGGCCGGAGGCGATAATGAAGTTCAACGGACCATGCTTGAATTGATCAACCAACTGGACGGCTTCGATCCCCGAGGAAATATTAAAGTCCTCATGGCAACCAACAGGCATGTACTTGAGCTCAGGTATTCTTTCATTCTGTGCTGACTCCATCGCAGGCCTGATACTTTGGATCCTGCTCTGCTGCGGCCTGGTCGTCTTGACCGGCGCGTCGAATTTTCGCTTCCCGACGTGGAAGGTCGTGCACATATTCTTCGCATACATGCTCGAAGGTCAGTAGTCCTCGCTCTATGTTCTGGCTGTGCGCTGACATTTGCTCCAGCATGAGTGTCGAGAGGGACATCCGATTCGACCTCATTGCTCGTCTATGCCCGAACACGACTGGTGCTGAGCTCAGATCTGTTGCTACGGAGGTGCGTCTGATCTGGTGAGTTCGGTGGTTATCCATGCTCACGATCTAAATTCAGGCCGGTATGTTCGCCATCCGGGCTCGTCGGAAGGTTGCCACAGAGCGGGATTTCTTGGACGCCGTAGAGAAAGTCGTCCGCCAGGGAACGAAGTTCTCTTCTACGTGCGTATCTCTAGTACTTGATTCCATTGTGCAGACATCTCTAATTAGTCTTCCTCTTTAGCCCCCTTTACCAGGTGTATAACTAGATCGTTCGCATGTATCATATATTTAGTTCGGATTCATGGCATCGCTTTCGTTTGAAGTCTTGCGTCTGACTGCATGCGCCTTCACCCTCTGAAGGATCTGCCGTAACGTTCCTGGGTTCATGGGGGTCAGTTGGACGTTGGTATTAAACTGCAAATATCGTCATGTGGTACAACACTAGGAAAAAAGTGCTAATGTATGCAGAGGGTCAGTCGTGCGAATCTGCGTAGGCACTGATAGCAGCAACCAAGCACTCCGTAAAGCCCGCAGTATGGATATGTTTTCACCGTCGGCTCTTCCGCTGGGATCTCCGGGGTGGTCCTTCCTCATCTACGTCCATGGAGTTGTCCGGAGCGTCAGTCGCTTCCTCTTCTTCCTCCTCATCCGAGTCATGAGCCATAGCGCTAGATGGTCAATCCGTTTCAGTCCCTGATCGCTTCGAAAAGCTGTAAACTCACCTCTTCTTAGGTCGACCTTTAGCCCTGCCTTTCTTTCCAGCGGTCTTCTGTGATTGGCTTTGTGCCTGAGATGGGCCCTGCGTTTGACTGGGCTCGTGGGATCCCTCAGCATCCTCATCCTCCTCTTCGTCACTTGCCTCCTCGGTCTGCTTCTTCCTCACCCGCCGAGCGAAGTCCTGGCCATCTTTGACTGCACCTTCGCCCACCGGGACAATCTTCTTGGTCCCGCTTGTCCAGCTCTCGTTGCAGGAAGGACATGTGGAGTGCACACGCTTGTAGTTGTTGAAGCAGTGTCCGTGCAGCCGGACTTTGCAATTCCGAGTGTTGCAAGCGATACCCCTCGTAAGGATCTGATCGGGCAATCGGCTATGAGATAATGACGACAGCAGGAAGGGGGCATTACCTCTAGACAGATGGTGCATTCTAAGACTTCGTCGGGGTAAGTCGATTTCAGGTACGGTAGCAGCTCCAGCAGACTACGAGTAGACAAAGAGTATCGACCCCGTCTGGACAAGCGACCTAAGATATCTGGTCAACATGTTTAAATTCACTACTTACTGGCTTTTGACGAGCCACCCTTTGGCCACGAAGCTTCCCAGGACAACTTCAGCTTGTGTCTTCGTCATATTGGCCTTCAAAAAATTCACTTCGCGCAATGCTGCCAGCGATGAAACGGAGAATGATTCGTGAGGAGCGAGCATAATTTGCTCAACCTAGGAATTCCCATTGTCAGTGACCGCGCGGGGAGTGAAAGGGGGACAGCCATACAATGGCTTTGAAGTACGCGATTTCGGTAGGTGTGTAGTCGGTCGCTAGCTGCGCGATCTCGTCTCCCTTCCTATTCACCTAAGTACGCGGATATCAAGACGCGACTGCGAGTATCTTCGAATTTACTTACCAAGGCATACATCTCCCTTCCATTCTGCTCGTCATGCAGATGTCGGAACTCGAGATCCAGGTCGTTCAAGGAGTCGTTCACTTTTGCGACGAAGGCGTCCCATGCTGCCCTGTCCTCAGCACGCGGGACAGGGATTTGCACTGTCTCTTCTGCAGCTGCAGAACCGCACGTCTATTGAATGATGCCGCCACATTCACGGTGAATGTATCGTATCGTACCTTTTACGGCGTCTATACATTTCAACCAGACTGTATGCGCAAGTTTATACGAGAGTACGCGACGCGAAATGACTGCCTGAAGAAAGAGACGTTGCACGTCGTTTGAGGAAACCATTGCGGAGTGAGGAGAGACGCGTCCGGGACGCGTCGTAAATATTACTCGCGTCTCGGCTAACAGCAGAAACGCGGTCACGGTCAAGCCACGTCCTAGGTCACAGTGCACAGTGAATGTAACGCTACTGAAATCCAAGGTGAATCGGGAGTCATAATAGCACCACGTAACTACTTTGATTGAGTGTGTGCGCATTAGCAATACCGTCTGTATCCAGGTTCTATAGTACGAGTATCACCACATCATTGTCCATAAGTCTCCCTGCACTTCAGATTTTCGGCACCTTCAACGTCTTGCTGACCATAGCAGCGGCCCAGCAGCCAAACACAATGCTAGCCAGATGAATCTCTCCGCTTCCTCCCTGCTTGCCCCAGAGCGTGATGGTGCCCCAGGGAACGCCGGCTTGACCCTCGATCCAACCCAGTTTTGTCCAGACCGAAAGGACGCCGACAAGGATGAGCGAAGATGGGATGGGGAGGCCCTCGAAGTATTTTGCTTTGCCAGACTTGTCCTTCGGTACCAGCGCTACAGTTGCGTTGAAGCGGGCTAGGCGAGCAAGTCCGCAGCAGATAAAGCCGGTGAGGACTACAGTGTCGAGATACGTTCGTAGTCCCACCACGAACGCAACAAGAGCTGGGGCAACGCCGAAAGAGATCTATGATATATTGCGTGAAAAATGTATCATGACGATGGTAGCTCGCAGACATACCAGGTCAGCCAGACTGTCAAGCTCCTGTCCGAGCATACTACTCTCCCTCCTCCACCGCGCTACCTTTCCGTCGAGAAAGTCAAACATGAGTCCCGCAAGGGGGAACATGAGGGCGGACCACAAGTAGTCGTGGTCATTCGTGAGGATGTACCGCGCAGACGAGAACACCGAGAACGACCCGCACACGCCGTTCATGATGGTGACCAGATCCGCTAGGCGGAAGTTCCTGTTGAGAGCGGGCACGCATCCCAGCGTGGTAAGCAGTAGTCCGGCTAGCGCAGAGGCTCGTGTGCGAGGGAAACGAAATACCTGACCAGCGAGAAGTGGCCCTCGGTGTCGTTGTACTGCTGCAGCGCCGCCGCCTTCGTCGTCTCCCCGTTCCCGTTCCCATTCTCCCCCTGCGTGTTGGACGGCTTTCGTTGGCTCATGGCGGTCGTTATCAGAGTTGAGATGGTGACGGCACAAGGAAGGCAGCGCCTGCTATTGTGCGTAAATGTTAGGCTGTATGATTTCTTGCCCGTGGCCTCGTGCTCCACAAGGCACAGCAGTGCACCCTTGGGGCGTCACTTGCAGAGTACTATGACTTTCTATTGCGTTCCCTGGCCGCAGAGTCCGTTACCTCCAAAAACCTGAGTCTGGCCTTTCATGTTCTTCAAGTTGCTGAATGTATCGACGGATGCATATGACTTCATCGCGAAGTCCGGTCCTAATCAAGTCCTGGTGATCGCGAAACCGTATTGATATTTCAAAAGAACATTCATACAGCATCACCCACGTACACAAGACTAAAATACAACTGATCGTCACAAAACCAACACAGACATTGCAGTACGCAAATCCCATCCTATCCATCCACAACCATCGCGTCCCGCTCGCTCTCTGCCTTCTCCAACCTTGCCTTCTCCAGCTCCCGGCTGCGCGCCGCATACTGGTTCGGGTGCGTGACGCTCTCCCCGCCGCCGACGCCCTCGCCCTTCTTCACGCCGCCGCTGCGCGCGTGCGTGATCTCGAACACGCGCGTGCACGCCACATGATAGTGCCCCGCGCGCACCGTGTGCATGATCTCCGGCAGGTCCGCCGCGGTGAGCCCGTGCGGCGCGTACGACGCGAGCAGCGCGGACTGCAGGTTGTCCTCTGAAAAGTGGCGGTACGGGCACCCGTGCGACTCGTTCGGGCCTGGCTGGTCCTGCATGAGGATCTGCTGGCAGCTGGGGAAGAGGCCGCATCGGTGCTTCTGGTGAAATGCATGGAAATTGGACCCTTACCTCTTAGCTGGGTAGTTGGCCCGGCGTCCCTCGAGACCGTATGAATGCCTGATGTTGTAACGGTACTCCTTGTTGAACTTGTCATCCGTAATCTTGCTGAACGACCTCCGCCAAAACGTGATCGCCTCGTCTATCGACAGCCCCAGCACCTGCAGCACCACAACATTTCAGCTTACCGCGCGATTTCAGCTCGCTCGCACGCACCTTCAAGAACAGCCCGTACTGCAACCGCCCCATATGCTTCAAGTGTCTGTCGCGCATGAGACTCTCGTGCAAATTGCGCATGCACATCGGGAAGTGCTTTCGCGCTAGCTCGTCCACCTCCTCCGCCTTGATCCCGCCGCCCTCCGCCGCGGACGACGAGGACGACAGCCACTCGGACGGGACGCCCGCGAGGAAGCCCTGCGAGAGGTTGTTCAGAATCGGGAGCAGGCGCGTGTCCTCGTCCAGCCGGGGCAGCGCCTTCGCTGTCATCTACTCGGGGGTTGCCTGTTAGAGCCTGGGCAAGGGCAAGCGAGCGCAGACGGACCTCGAGCGCCTTTTCGAGGTTTGTTTGGAATTCTTGGAAGACCATGCTGGATTGCTCCCGCGCTGGCACGTAGGCCCACCCGCCTTTGAGGAACACTCGTCGTTTCTCGACCAGATCTGGGACTCGTGTCCATCGTACCTGTGAGAGGAGGTTGTGTCTTCATAATGCGCCTACCGAGATGGGCGGGAGAGTCGTTACCTTGTAGTATTTGTCCTTTTTAAAATGTGCCTCGAGATCCTGCGGCCTGATGTTGCTGGGGACAGCCATGAGCTGTGTCTTGTACATCTCTTTCTCCTTGTCATCTACCTGAGACGATGTCATTATCATATTGCCTTCAGCGCGAGCTCGCGGATCAGGGGACGCACTGGAACCCAGTCGAAGTCTCTTGAGCTGAGGAACGCCTCGCGTTCGCGGGTATCATCTGAATCCCAACGTACTCTAAAGAGCATCATCTCCGCCTTGACGAATCGTCTCCGTAGCTCCTCCCTAACAATCAACACCTTCACACACTTGATTCCATTCCATAACTGCGAGACACTCACGACCGGCAGAACGCCAACCTCAGCACGAAATGCCCGACATGGTCTCTCCTCCGCTCTCCCTGCAAATCACACGTGCTGGCCGAGTTGGCGTTGAGGGTGAGGTACTTGTCGCACTGCGTCTTTGTGACGGCCTTGAGCTCGTCGTAGGAGCGGTTGCGGACGAAGGAGGACTCGATTTCGGCGAGAATGCGGAGGCGGGCGAGGGCGGCGGACTCGAACTCTTCGAGGGTGACGTCGAATATGGGAGGGAGGTCGTAGCTGTATGGGGCCAAAGGTGAGGTGCGGTCGAGAGAGAAAAAGGCGAAGCGATACAGCTTACAAGTTCAGGCGATGGGGGTAGGGCTCCGTTGAATGCAGCTGGACCTGTGCTGATGATGACTTGAGCGGAGTGCTGGGGCCCTTGCGCTCCTTGGCTTTGAACATGTTGTGACCGTTGATGGATAGTTCAGCTACAAGGAAAGAGAATTTGACAAGGAATCAGGACAGGCAGGTCGCGCGACGCATCTCAAATGATGCAAACGCGACCTGTCACGCGAACGTCACACATTCCATCCAGGCTGAGTATCGGTAAAAGTACCAAAGACACGCTATCTATCATTCTATGCACCAAAAGCTAAGTTATGATTGAAGATAGGCATCGGTTATTTTGGAAGTTATGCAGGTACCAACGTCTGTACATACAACGTGACCAGCCACCATAATACTCAGATACATCATGCTAGTGCTACCTTCGCTCAGAGCCGTCGGAGCATCTTCCGAGGACATTGCTCGCCGTCCAATGCAGTGAGCAGACTGGCATAGCCGTTGGGACAGCCGTCGGGGGCTGACGCAGGAGGGATGACCAACGGGGAGCGCCGGCGCGTTAGTGGGACACAGCCACAACACTTCGCAAGGGTCGGGGAAGCCAAATATAGCCGCGAGGCGCAGCGGCGCGTCTTGGCGCGAGTGCCTGACAAGTCGTCCACTGCATCGCTCACCGCTGGAGCCCGCCTGCAACGATGTCCAACGATGCGACTGTCCCGCTCCTCCCGCTCTCCAGGCGCTCTCTCGACGTCGAGCGCGACGACTACGACAGCGACGACGACACCCTCGTCTCGAGCCGCGCTTCCTCTGGCGGCACAGCCAGCCCAAAATTCTCCCGCCTCTCTGCGCCCCTCCTCCTCATACCCATCTCCCGTCGCTGGCGACGTCCCCGCCCCCTCCGCGCCCGCTCGCGCCTCCTCCTCATCTTTGCCCTCGCCCTCGCGAGCACCTTCCTCCTCGTCCCGCTCTTCATCCATCTCATCACCGCCCCCGCTTTCCCCGCAAAGATACCCTCGCCCTACGACGACATCGCCATCGTCTCCCTCGCCTCCTCGCTATCCAGACTGCGCAAGACCCTCCCATATACCCTGCGCACGCTTCACGCCCAGAGCGTCAGACCAAAAGAGATCAGAATATACCTCCCGGAAGGGGAGGAGCGAGACGTGATCCAGCTGCAAGAAAGCGGTGGTCTAAGTCCTGAATTTGAGACCGGGAACGTGAGGATGTTCTTCGTGCCCGACCAGGGTCCTGGGTGAGTAACTTATTCTCAGCTGTCCTACTATAGTCTCAAGTTCTTGTCTAGCACGAAATTCCTCCCCCTTCTAACCGAACACCTCACCCTCGCCTCCAACCCAGACCCACACTCCGCGCACTACCTCTCGCGGCCCCTCATCATCCTCGACGACGACCACCTCTACACCCCTTCCCTCATCTCCACCCTCCTCACCACCCACTTCGCCACCACCCCCGACTCCCCGTTCAAGCCGCGCATCCCCACCGCCAATACCTCAACGCCAATTGCACATGACCCAGATGCGTATCCAGCGCCGAACATGACCAGTGCGGCGTTTGGCCTGCGCGGCCAGCGCATCCGCCCGAACCTCCACTGGGCGAACCCGTACTACGCCAACGGCCGGTACACCGTGCACGGCTGGCAGATCGACGCGCCCTACCGCACCGGGTACCTCACCGCCAACGCCGTACGTACCCAACCCAAACCACATCGTCGACTATGCTAACTCTTACCCTCCTGCAGGGCTACCTCATCCTCCCGTCCTACTTCGTCCCGCACCATCTCCTCCCGGCGTCATCCCCGCACCCGCCCGCGGAGCCCTACACCGCGCACGCCGCCGTCCTCAACTACACCGGCGCGCCCTCGCCCGCGCGGCTCGTCGACGACATCTGGTACGTCCCCCCTCCCCCCCTCTCTGTCTCCCTTCCCTCGTACTCACCCATGAAATCCCAGGATAAACGCGCACCTCTCGCTCACCGCCCACCCGCGCATCATCCTCCCGCTGCCCGCCTCCCCGCCCTCGCTCGCGCTCGACCAGGTCTTCGGCTCGCAGCTGCTCACGCGCAAGATGCGCAGCGAGGGCGTCAGCCGGCAGGACGCGAACGACGCGATGATCGCGTACTTCCGCGACGCGTGGGCGCAAGAGGGCGGCGTGTGGTTCCGCGAGGAGGAGGCGCTCGTGGACGAGGAAGGCGTAGTTGAGCAGGGTGGTGTGCAGGAGCGCGGGGAGAGCAGTGATCCGCTTTGGAGCAGCTGGTGGCGGAGGAAGGTCATGAACCGGGTTTGGGCGGTTGGCCTGGTGTGGAGGAGTTTCGTCGTGGGCTTTGATACGACCAAGGCGCCATAGCATTGAAGCCACGCACGCTCTCAAAAGGAACACTCATATACCATTTATACTTATTATAACGGGACTTGCTGAGGGGTACTTTTACTCGCAACTCACGATAAACCTTGTACTCTTGGATTTTTGGATGAAGTCGCTGAAGGAACACTAGACCTATTCTTCATAATTCAGTGCTGCCGGTTTCTGCAGTCCATCCACGTCAATGTAGGAATCTAGATTGTACAATGCAGATCAAATATCTCTATCGTCCACATCCCGGAGCAGATGGGTCTTCGGTAACAGGCCTTGCATAAAGCACAGGCAATGTTATTGATCCTCGAAAGAGCAGCAATCGACAAGCACGCGAAACTACCGCTCCACAGGCACATCAACTGGCCCCGCCGACTGCGCCGCCGATATGCGCACCTCCTCCCCAATCTTACTCCCCTGGTCCGTGAACCCAAACTTGCCCTTCCCCCAGACGACCGTCTTGCGCTTCCCCTTCCGGCCCTCCCCGAACTCCTCGTTCCACTTGCGCAGGTCCGCGAGGCTGCCGAGCGTCTCCGACGAGGACGGCACGATCTCCGTCAACGCTTTAGTGAAGTTGTGCCAGTGGAGGACGCGCGAGTACTCGGACGGGTCGGGCAGGGATGACTTGTCGGCGTCCGCCGCTGCCTGAGATGTCCCCTGGTCAGCGGGCTTATCCTGGGTTTGTTCTGGGGCGCTGGATAAGGAGCTAGTGGACTCGCTTGACTCTGCAGGAGATGGGGCGCTGGATGAAGCCACCTTCCAAGGGACTTCGACTTTCTCCTTTACAGCATCCAATGCGGCAGCCACACAAAGGTCTGGAGATGTGCATGAGCTATTCATCTGCGAATACATTAACGAGATAACTTACGCTTCAAGTCGGACCCAGAGAAGTTCTCTGTCTTTTTGGCGAGAGCTTTTAGATCTACCTCATTGCCTAATGTCTCACCACGGAGATGGATCTTGAGAATCTCTGGTGTGCAGTCGTCTCATGTCAGCAAAATATTAATCCATCAAGCCTGGGCTCTACGTACCCTCTCTCTCCCTCTCTCCTGGCAGATCTATGAGCAATCGGCGAGGCAACCTTCGGAGTACAGCATCGTCCAGGTCAAATGGTCTATTTGTTGCGCCGATGACAATAACGTTGTCATCCTTGGACGACCGGAGACCGTCCATTTCCTGCATGAACTCCGTGATTACACTGCGATGTGCAATAGCACCTCCAGTCTCTCGTGCTGATGATCTAGCACCGAAGAGGGCATCGAGCTCATCCAGGAAGACGACACAAGGCGCGAGGCGCCGGGCAAGGGAGAACACGGCTTTGACAAGCTTCTCGCCCTCACCGACGTACTTTGAGGACGGTTAGTACAATCATACATCAGAGAGGAAGCGTGCATTTACCATATCCATCACGTCCGAAGGAGAGATAGCAAGCATCCGGCAGCCAGCTTCTTTAGCGAGGGCACGAACGACCAGGGTCTTACCGGTTCCCGGGGGACCAAATAATAGACACCCAGTCATACTGTGATCCTTAAGGATACCATGCTGGAAAGCCATTGGATGCAGAATTGGCAGGGATACGATCGTTCGCACAGCGTCAATTGTATTTGGCGGTAAGTGCACCTGTTCAAACGATGTCGGCATAGACGCTGACGCAGCGCGTAAGAAACAAGCAGTAACCGCATATCACGAACATACCTGAATCCACGATACAACCCAAGAGTCGCCGCTCATGATGATCAAGGTCGTTGTCCCGTTTGATCCTTTCGACAACTTCGTCGGCCTCCATATCATTGTCTTCATCCTCAACTTCCTCTTCTTCCTCCCGGGCGACCTTCTGCAAGCTTTCCTTGGCCCATAGTTTCCGCACTTCATGGCCTGACCTATGGCTAGCCCAAGCCTGGAAGACAGTTTCCCAAGGGATAGGAGTAGGATCGAGGGTAGTAGGTAGTGTTCCAGCCCTCATGTTCTCGCTGATCACAGCCCCGACGGCTCGGTCAGCGACATGCAGGATGTCTCTCCATATCTCGATTCTGTTTCCCCACTCGTGCCACAACTTTGCAGCATCACTCAGTTCGGTGGCGGGGCCCTCTTTTTTCTCTTCAGTAGGCTCGACTTTGTCTTCAGAGACCTGAGGAACTTCTTCAAGTTCAGGAAGAATTCCACCAACTGTGCTGACTCCCATTCGCATGATCAGCTCATTGATTTGTCTCCGCCGTGATATCCTACATTCCCGCTCATGCGAAAGCGATCGTACGCTCGGGACAACGACCGAAGTCCTAAAGAAGCGGGAATTTGCGTCGGCATCGGATGAGCCAGAGGACTTGTTGCTTGAAGGACCGCCTCCTCCGAAGAACGGGTTAAGACCCGACTGGATAGAAGTGCCCCCGGCTCCATTCAAGAACACAACCTCCGGCCGTCCGCTGGAACTACCTCGGTCTTCACCTTCGTCCGTGGATTGGAGAGACAGCTTGGGCAGCTCGTCCTGCAGAGCAGCATCCCCTTTCTCCCATTTCTTCAGACGTCTCCGCAGCCGCTTCTCACGCAGCTTGTCGGCAATTTCATCTTCGTGAGACTCTGTCTTACCAGACTTGGCAGGGGCGACCGACGCAGATGAGCGACCGCCCGTGAGCATGTTCATCACGCTGTACCCACCGTGGCCTGAACTCGATAATGACGAGGTAGGAGGCACGATAGGAGGCGTAATCCCAAAGACAATGGTCATCGGATTCACCACGGGCGAAGTGGGCCTCGAAATCGGGCCCTGCCGTCTTTGACGCACAGCTTGCAAAAGCGAAGGGTACCAGCTAGACGATGTCGACGCAAGAGTTCCAAAGTCACGGACAAAGATGATCCTTGGCCTGCGAAGCGGAGTTGCTCCCGACGCGTTTGCGGGGGACGGGATATTAATGAGTTCATCGAAGAAGGCCTTGGCTTTCGCTGTGGGACTACCTTTGGTACCAGAACCGGAGGCAAAGATAGTTCTTGATGTTCGCATAGGCGCAAGTACGTGCAGAGTCATCTGCGAAGGTATAGAGAAACCAGGCATATCATCGTCGTCCTCTTCATCCTCTATACGTCGAGGAGGCTGGGATAAGGGAGTAGACGAAGTGACATGCAGTGGGTTTCGAGGTAAGGAAATCGCGTTTGCAGCTGCGATATTTTGAGTTAAGTGGTACAAATGGATTTCGATGCGAGCCTCACCTTTCCCGAACTGCCCGCATTCGCCAGCGGCAATTTGTACCGAGTCGAGTACGAGGACTTCTGAGCCCGTCCGGCGCGCCAACTCTCTGACAGTCTCGTCAATAATATAGTCCCCTCCTTCTATGGGACAATATAGGGCCAAAGTCGGCTCGATGGGAGGTCCTTGTGCCGAGGGGTACACAGATCTATGCTGTGTCTGAGGATGCAGCGTAACATGCAGGTTATTCAAGGCTTCGTCTAGGATAGCTGGCGGCGGTATCGCATTGGGATTTGAGCTCTCAGGTTCGGACTCGGGAGCCCAGATTATATCCAGGCCAGATGGGAGTGCGGGGGCAGACTCTGGCTCCTTGCTAGCTGTAGTTGTGGTCCTGGTCCTCGTGCGCCGGACCTTCTCAGGCTCGGGCTCCTCTGCAGGAGCCTCCGGGGGTACATCAGGACTTGCAGACTGGGAATCTGCTTTCACTGCTTGGACATCTGAGTCAGTCGTGGTAGTTGGCGGCGTAGTAGACGAAGAGGAGGAACGCTTGTATACACGAGTGGTCCGAGGCAAAGCATCCTTTCCGGGAATCCGGATCCTTGCCGACTTGCGCGACGAACGGGCAAGTCGAGACGAGGTCTTGAGCAGTGACCTTGTCCTCCGAAGTAGCAGCTGAGAGGTCATCCAAGATTCGTCCTGGACCCAAAGTCTGCACTGAAGCAGACCCCTTTCGGCAGTCTCCGGTCAACGATTCAACATGAGTAAGGCAAGACTAAGCAAAGCTACTTCAGTTTCCTCTGCTCTTTAGACGCATCTCTTCATGCATGAGTCAGTAAGAAAATGGAATAAACGCATTATACAGTGTCTACAGTCATATAATACTAGACGCGAGCGTCCGCGATCCGGCGTAGGTTCAAGATATATGTAACCAAGTACTTATTCAAAGCCCTCATTGACGCTTGTCCTCCCTCTCCTTCTGTCTCTCCAGTAAATCCAGACCCACCAATATCTTTGCAGCCTTCCACAGCTGCACGGCATTGACGATGTTCTTCAACAAGCAAATTGGTGCGCAGGTAACAGCCAGGAGTGCGGGCCACGAGAGATCGCCGAGGAGGGACCCGAATGCAGCCACCTGCGGTATTGAAGAGGACGCGATAGGCGTGTCAATCCACTTCATAAGGTATAACGCGACAAAGAAGAGCTCATTCCCCGCGCACATGACGAAGAGGATTTTCTGTCATGCACCCGTCAGCGACATAACGGACAAATCATCCAAGCTCGAACTTACGGGATCATAATAGAATCGTAAAATACGAGAGACCTCACTGGTAACCGCCTTGTGACTTCTCGAACCAGTAATGAGCGAGCTATAGACATGTCAGAGCCTGAACCATGCATTAGCAGTATTGCCGCACCTATACATATGCATGTAATGACTGCTGAAGTCCAACGTCATAAGGAACTGGAATCCCATCGCGTACTCCGGATACGCCGAACATAGATAGCAGAGGAGACATGAAGTCGTACATCTGTCACAAGATGATTGGAGGAGTGGATTGAACCGAAGCGTATCCCATACATACCTGTCAGTTACCATATCCAACACTGCTCCAAACTTTGACGACTGGCCCAGCGCTCTTGCGGCATGTCCATCGGCAGCATCAAGCAAGCACGAGATACCGTATGCAAGTGTGCAGTATTTGGGATGGTAGCTCATCCAATGCAGCGAAGCAGCTGCCAATATGATACGTGTATAGCCTAATGTGATATCGTTGGGATGGAGTGAGATAAGCAGACATAACCAGATAGCTCACCAATGAGATTCGGCACGAAGAGGAAGACATTCTCAGAGTAGGACTGTGCGGTGGCCAGGTCCACCGCTATCTTTGCGTCCACGACCTCTACAGCAGCTCGTCTGCGTCTGACCTCGTCCAGTGTTTCGTTAGCCATGGTGGTAGGAGCCGGGGGGTCGTAAAGGACGCTGACTGTGCCGCAGAAAGCTATGTGACATACGAACGCGTCCGCCGAGTTCTCCTCTGACCTCAGCGGATCTCTGCCGCTTGCCTGGCACCCACGCCATAAATAGCTTACTGTGCAAGACTTACGATCAAATCCCCGAGCTCCGTGGCGTACCTTTAGCCACATTCCTGCAGCAGAGCATTCCAGGCTGCCGATTATATTAGGGGCCCAATTGTGATATCTCATTCGACATTTGAGGGCACAACGCAGAATTTGTGGGATTGTAACACTAAGTCAAGACTGTGGTCTTGCGATGTATAGAAAGTCCTCCAGTAAGCAACGGACAGGCGCGTAGGCTATTAAATATGTAATGTCCTAGAATAATAGATAAAGCATAGCGAGGGTCGTGGGGGAAAGGGTTTCGTGAGGGTATCATCGGTAGGTAGTGCCGTTTAAGAGCCACCGTTGTTGTTGCCTTTGTTCTGCCAGGGGCGGATTGAAACGACAATAATGACGGCGATGATGATGGCGATGAGGATCGTAAGCCAGAAGCAGATCCAACGCTTTCGGCGTGCTTTCCTTGCTGACACGACAGCTTTCTCGGTTTGTCCGAGCCTACGCGGTATATCAGTAATTTGCTTAACATCTCGGGCAGCAAGGATAGGACCTACGCGGCCTCAGTATCCTTCTCCACACCTGCTGCAGCAGTCTGCACAGCGTCAATCTGCTCGTCTTGTTGTTGTACAAGGATACTCATCTGGAAGAAGTCTAAGGAAATACGACGGTGAGACTTCACGCCATGGAAGACTTACATCATTAAATAGCTGCGCCAATTCCGCGAGTGTTTGCTCGATCTTTCGAATATCCTCATGCCTCTCCTGGACTTCGCGATACGCCGCCCGGGATTCGCCATACCTCGTAGATGATGAGATCTGGCATTGGGTCGTTGAGTAAGCGAAACTTCGGGACAGACTTGACAAAACTCACAGCTTGCGCGAAGATCTGATTTCCAGTCCCTGAAGAATTGTTGACAACAGCGGCAACTTCTTCCTGGGTAGCATCGGGTTTCACTACAAATGCTATAGTTCAGGGGAACCAAAATTGTTGGAAGGGCTGGCAAACCTATTTTGAACTGGCGTTCGACACGCTGTTTATATCGGCTCCTGTAGTCCGCTTCCACGTTCTGATACTTTTGTACGACCTCCATGAATTTCTTCCGTACAAGACTGAGCTAAAAACCAGCGGCATCAGCATCTTAGTTCGGGCGTATATCCCATATTCGCGCACCTGGTTTTTCTTTATACGAGCGTCAGCCCCAGGTGTGGGCTGCGCACCCAGAGACTCGATCCGCCTTTTAATCTGACCGCTCAAACTTCTTGTTTCCCCAACCAGCTCGTCCAATTCGGCATTGAATCTGTTGGACTGAGCCTCGTCCATGTTGTTCAACACTCGCGAATGCAGATCAGATATTCTGGACACATTCGAATCGAACTGGGCAATCATGTCTTGAATGTTGCCGATCTAGCGAAGGGTAGTCAGCAGCGGCTTGTCAGACAGACCCGTATATGAAGCTCACTTCGCCGTAGAAATCTGTCATTCCTTCGCCCGCGCCGTTACCGTTGGCTCCATACGCTGGTTGCGGATTCGAGGGCGGGTTTACACCGGACATTTCGTACCCCCTTCCTTGACCTTGCCCTTGCGTGCGGTAGCTCCCATCTCCTTGCCCACGCTGCGCCTACAAAGCGAACCTCAGTTGATTTGACCAGCCCTCGACGCATAGGACGCACCCTGAGAGCGGCAAGCCTGTCCATTGCCATGATCGTATAGTTCGGTTGATAACGTTACAAAAGTGAAGGATTCGTAGAGGAAGAGGGTATATAGAGTCTGCAAAAACGCCCAGACTGAGTGGATCGTTCGACCGCGGAGGGCAGAGGCGCGCGTGCGGCCTGACGTTAGCCGCCACTGCAATATATGGATTGCCACCCGCGGCTGTGCGGGGACTCGGAATACGACTGTAAATGCACCCAGTCGATCAATCGGAGTCTTCTGTGGCATACTGAACATGCGTTCGTTCGTCGAGCATGTTGTGCATGGGCCAGAGTGGCACATGGGGAATTGCACAAGTGTTTCCACAACCGTGACCTCTCGCAACGCGAAACGGCCAGAGGCATCTTTTGTGAGCTTTACAATCTTGGGCAATGACAATGTCACTTGTGCTGGGTGTTGGCCGCTGTTCTTTGTTGTGCTGTCTGTCTTCCCCATTCGAAGCGTGATAGGCCTTTGAAAGTGTGGTGACTGTCCGTTAAGTTTCTAGTGGGTCGACACCAAATATTGGGGAGAAGTGACTGAGGTGAGTATCGCCGCGCGATCCCCGCTCCTCGTCAGGTTATATTTTCCTCTCGTATGGGCAGATATTAGCCCTCTTCCGCTCACGGGAACGGTACTTGTCATATATATGCATCGAGCCTGCAGCTGCAGTCCTGACAGGTCGAACCCATCCCGTGAACGGATCCCATCTTCGTTCGTTGATACTATTCATGCCGGCGGTGTATGTAGCATACGCATGCGTACATTTCCAATATTTCAGGCTCCCGTAAATCAAGGTCGTTGTTTCACCGGAAGCGCAAAGACAGTGCACAGTGAGTAAACACCTCTGACCTAAACTCTCACTCGTTGTATTACTTGTAAGCCTTAGACCTTTCCTCGGCGGGTGATGCGGATGACTACAGCATTGTACTGCGCAGTACTGCCGCATACGCATACGCTGTTCCTAGGATGGACATCCATTCGAGCGCGAGCACCTGCGCATGCGCGTCTCCTCGGCGCCGTCGTCCATGTTTCGATTCCTAATCATTCTGAGAATTCCTGCCCGATTTAGACAATCGCGAGAGGAGGTCAGCTATGATCTGCTATGATCTCACAGATATACACCTTCCGGGGTAGAACGATCATGCAAAGTAAGCCTCCCGCACTCGTATAAATAGGCGAAGACTCTATTTCACTCTTTTCCCCATCAACTAGACACTACCGTAGTTTTATACTCGTCATGGTTAACACGATTATCAAGCTTGGAGGCACGGCGTCCAATGTAACGGTGGGGAAGATCGGGGTGAGTGCAGTCTTACAAGACTACTCATCTTATGCGACTTACACTTGGTCAACAGCATGGGCTCATGCTCATGACGTGCGTACCGCTTTGACTATGTGGCGTACACTCCTTACGAATCCGTCACGTAGGTGGAAAGCGGTACCTAGTCCCGACGAGGAATGCTTCGAAGCAATCAAGGCAGGCGTGGACTCACTGCCAGAGGGAGCCAAGATGTTCTTGAACAGCGGTATGAGCACCATTTGCCTTCCCACCAGGAGTGCGTTTGACGCCACATCTGTATTTCCCAGGCGAGTTCTACGGACCCAACCTTTCGACCGCCAACCTTGAAATGTTGGCGAGATTCTTCAGCAAGTATCCAGAGTACGCGGACAGAACGTTCCTTTCGGTCAAGGTCAGTCGTTCTGCAAGGCGCTGGAATTTTCTATATTCACGCGCGAATCTAGGGAGGCCTCAAACCTGGAGGTTTCGAACCCGACGCTTCGTTAGTCTTTCCATTGCTCAGCTTACCTCAATGCCCATCTGACGATCCTCGTGAAGGCTAGAGAACCTTCGTCGGAGTGTTGATAACATCAATGCCGCTCTGAAAGGAACGAAGAAACTTGATTTGTTTGAGATGGCAAGAGTCGACCGAAAGGTGCCCATCGAGGATGCGATCAAGAACATGACCATCCTGATCAAGGAAGGGAAATTCGACCACATTGGCATGTCGGAGTGTCGGGCTGAGACTCTTCGACGTGCAAACTCCGTGAATGACGAGGACCTCTGACGAATATATGGAGGTACTGATGTGATGTGAATTTGCAGGTCCATCCGATCACCGCTGTAGAGATTGAAGTGAGCCCATGGAGCTACGAGGAGGAGACAAAGAATGGTGCCATTTACTTGGATTCCTGCCAATGTGGAGCTGACGGTCTCCCATCCCAGTTATTGCAACTGCTGAAGAGCTGAATGTCTCTGTTGCGGCGTATTCGTAGGTACCCACGTATTGACCTTGCAGATCATATCTGAAGTGGGTTCATAGGCCGATCGGCAGGGGCTTCTTGACTGGCCAGATCAAAAGCCTCGACGACCTTCCGAGTAAGTCCTACGTGGGTCTCTCATGCCGTGTATTAACACCTGTGCCAGAGGATGACTTACGACGCCATTTCGATCGCTTCAAGCCAGAGGTTAGTTCCACTACCCGAAAGCGCAGGTCTATGTCTTAGTGGGGCTGATTGACATACCGCGTCAACTCGTAGAACTTTCAACATAATCTGGCCCTTGTCGAGGACCTTACGAAAGTTGCTGAACGCAGGAAGATAACCCCAGCGCAGCTGTGCATCGCGTGGGTAGCGTCGCTCGGCCCGCATATGGTTCCCATTCCTGGATCTTCGTGCGTGCTGTGCCCCTGTAGAATCCGCAACAAGTATTGAATGATTGTTTAGACACAAGAAACGCACGCTGGAGAATTTACATGCAGCGGAGGTCGACCTGTCGGAAAAGGATAGGGAAGAGATCGGAAAGATCATAGCGTCCCACGAAGTGAAGGGCAAACGGTACCAGGATGTCCCTGATGAAGTGCTGAACCTGTGGGGTTGAAAAAACCGGGTCTGTATCATGTTACCTAGCAAGTCAGAGTTGAATCAAGATTAGTGAACAAAGCCAGACCCGAGGTCTACCAGGCTACAGGAATACGTGACAGCAGTGTGACAGGACGCGACGCGACGATCATTTATCTTATCTCGGACACGGCCGAATACGGCCGATCGCTCTCGAGTCATGGACAAGAAATTCGTCTTGAGGCGGCCTCCTTTTCATTATCCCGCTATTTTTCTTGACTACCGACCGCGATGTGTGGGATCTGTGCAGCGCACGGCATCGAAAAGCCAGCAGCCGAGAGAGCGCATTTCCTTGCTCTGTCCAAGAAGCTGCGCCACAGGGGCCCCGATTGGTCGGGCTGCTATGTCGGGACGCAGTCCATCCTCTGCCATGAGCGTCTGGCTATTGTCGGTGTAGGTCAGTAAGTCCGTGTATCGCCAGAAAATGCGACGTATTTACGCCATCCTGCAGATACTGGTGCTCAGCCCATTGTCAGCGACTGCGGGAAGTATACGCTCGCAGTCAACGGCGAGATTTACAACCACATCAAGCTGCGTGCCAGCGTAGACTATAAGTTCAAAACACACTCTGACTGTGAAGTCATTATCCCTCTGGTGCGTCCTGTCTCATGCTGAGACATCAAGTCGTCACTCAAGCTACCATGCCTACTCTAGTACAAGAAATATGGCAAGGACCTATGCGATCTTCTGGATGGCATGTTCTCGTTCGTCCTTCTTGACGAGTCAGTCACGCCGTCCCGTATTATTGCCGCACGTGATCCCATTGGGATCACCACCCTCTACCAGGGCTGGAGCTCAAAACGCCCGGGGGCCGTTTACTTTGCCTCAGAGCTGAAAGCTCTGGTAGACGAATGCGACGACATCATCTCGTTCCCTCCGGGGCATGTCTACGATAGCTCGGATAACTCCACCACGAGATATTACCAGCCTTCGTGGTGGGATGGTGACTCGGATGCCCCTGACGCCCCCATACCCACCGCCAAGGCTGACCTGACGAAGCTCCGGGAAACGCTCGAGATGGCCGTCAAGAAGAGGCTGATGTCCGAGGTGCCGTACGGTGTCCTGCTCAGCGGCGGCTTGGACAGCAGTCTCATCGCTTCCATTGCTGCGAGGGAGACCGAGAAGATTGCCCAAGCACAGCACGAAGCTAGGCAGAGGAAGCTGGCGGAAGCCCAGAGCGGCCCCCCGACTCCTGTCGGTAACGGACTGGTATCTGAAGAAGGTTCGCTACATAATTCAACATCCCTCGAGACCTTGCTGACCGTGTTGTGCGTAGCTACTATTGCTTCCTGGCCTCAACTTCACTCATTCTCCATTGGCCTCGAAAACTCCCCTGATTTGCTTGCTGCACGGAAAGCAGCACATTACCTCGGCACCGTCCACCACGAATATGTCTTCACCGTCCAGGAAGGTCTGGATGCTATTCCCGATGTTATTTATCACCTGGAGACATATGACGTGACGACGGTGCGAGCGAGCACGCCCATGTACCTCCTGAGCCGTAAGATCAAGGCAATGGGTGTCAAAATGGTTCTGAGCGGGGAGGGTAGCGACGAGATCTTCGGAGGTATTTTGACGAACGACCCTTCTCTGGTTTCTGCTAACCCCAGGTGATGCGTAGGCTATCTGTACTTCCATGCTGCACCCGATGCCAAGTCATTCCACCAGGAATGCGTGCGTCGCGTGAAGAACCTGCACACATCCGACTGTTTGCGGGCTAACAAGTAAGAAAATTTATACTAAGATCTGTCAACGTCATGATTGATTCATTTTATGTGTTCAGGTCCACAATGGCATGGGGTCTTGAAGCCCGAGTGCCATTCCTCGACAAGGCTTTCCTGGATGTAGCCATGAACATCGACCCCAAGGAAAAGATGTTCAGCAAAGGCTCCGCTCAGGAGGTCGACGAGGATGGCAAGCCGAAGATGGAGAAATACATTCTCCGCAAAGCCTTCGATTGCGCACCCGATGGAAAGGTAAGACAGGTAACAAGCCAGTCGGCCCATAGCTGACACCTGCCCCAAGCCGTATCTGCCCCACTCCATTCTGTGGCGACAGAAGGAGCAGTTCTCGGATGGTGTCGGATATTCCTGGATTGATGGGTACGTCAAACTGATCTGCACGCCCGAGTCGGTTCCTCACTGAACTGTGTGCATCGCCAATAGAATGAAGGATCACGCCGCTGCAGTCGTATCAGACGAAGCCTTCGCAAAGCGGGCTGAGCGCTGGCCGCGGGACACGCCAGACACCAAGGAGGCGTACTTCATCCGCGAGATATTCGATGGCCTGTTCCCGACGGAAGCTGCCGCGAAGACGGCCGTGCGGTAAGTGTATTGTTGATTGTGTGTTATCTTCAACTCAGACTTATTAATTCCTTCAAAGCTGGATACCCCGAGGCGACTGGGGATGCTCGTCGGATCCCAGCGGTCGCAGCGTCAGTATTCACCAAGCAGCCTATCAACAGGATAGTTAGATAGGCGGCAGAATGCAATAGAATCCTATAGCTGTATGAGTAATACAAAGTAGTCTATCAAGGAACACAACGGACGCGAACCGATCGAGGGTAAACTGCGAGTGTTCATCACAGGTCTGCCTTTGCTAGACCGAGAATAATAGTGTTCATCATGCATACGGAGAAGCAAGCAGATAATTAAAGACGGACTGATAAGAAAAGATATAATGAAAACGAGAAAATGCGAGGCATTGCATGGAAGAGGCCAACGGGTAAGGAAAGTGCTACGGTATCGTGAAACAGGGGTAGTCAGCAACATGATTACAGAGCAGAGCGAGTATAGGAGGCGAGTATGCACATGTCTGGTCGTGAGGATCGGAAGAACGAGCATTATGGACGTGAAGGAAAGAGTCTATGTGTCCAGGCGGGTCAAAGACGGATTCTGGGCTATGATCTGGCGATACATTCCCACTCCCGAGTCTTCTGACGGAGCAGGAGACGCCAGAGATTTGTTGTTGGACGTGACCGTCGCTTTCGTGGCTGCGCTTGTTTGCGATATGTTCCGGGTACGTTTAGCCGCAGTTGGCGTCGACGTGTTCGCCCGAGAGCTGCCAGTGCCTACCCACGCCGGCCTCCCTGGATCCCGTGTCACGGTCGCCTTAGCAGAATGGCCTTCGTCCGATTGAGGTTGTCGGCGAGCAGATGGGGTAGTGCGACCAGCAGGGGTACCTTGCGTACGACGACTAGCCGGACGTGCTGGGTTCGCCGTGTCCATTAATCGCGTGCCAAACTTGGCATTGGCAGACGATTCCCTTGCATAAGCTGTTGACATCGCCGGTGAAGCTCTTCGCGCTCCCGCGGGAGCCGCAGGTTTCGGCTTGACGACCGGTTTTTGAATGGTGATCTTGTCCGCGCCCCAGTAAGAGAAACTCATTTTGCTCTTCCTATCCGAATCATCCGAGTCCATAGCCCTATCCTCATCATCGTCTGGCATTGGCACGATTCTTGGCTGTGGTACGCCTGAATGGTACTGTGCCTTAGATCGCACAACACTGCGAAGGTCAGGTAAATCGCCAGTAAAACTGTATAATGCTCCTGGAAACTTACTCTTCCATTGCTACCACACCCTCGCGAGGTTGAACAACATGGCCGATATCCCATGTCTCGATCTACGCAAGGGAATATCACATGAGCATTAGCCCCCAGCATTTGGTCCATGCTTACCTTGATGAATTTGTACAAATTCCTCGGTTTCGTGTGAGAGCCCCTTCGACCGGTAGTCGCGTACTTTGCCTTGCCCTGCAAGTCCGGTAATGAATTCACCCTGGAATTCGTTGCGGCTACCAATGGTAACGATGTGGTGCCGGTCCTCTGACATCTGAGTACGACATCATTGAACACGACGAGCCACAGGTCCTTCTTTCCGCCTATCCCACTCGAACTGGGCTGTAAGACATCGCTGAGGCGCTTGAACGACGTCTTGCCCTTCACATTCTTGCCGTTCATGGCCGTGGGCGGCGACCCCGGGGTCTTGCCAGGAGCTGGTGAACCACCTTGTTCCTGAGATGGCATCAACTGCCGCTCTTCAACGAGCACCCGCGAAGGCTTCGGAGCCGCCAATTGCTTGACTTTCTCGAGGCCTTCTATACGTGCAAACACATCTCGCGTCTTGTCCCTCTCCTCCTTCTGTATCTTCTCGTCTTCGATACTTCGCACGATAGTCTCGACTTCTGCCACCATTTGGAGCGTACTTTCGTATTCAAACGTACTCGGATCCGTGTGGAAAAGGAGGTTTTGGAAGAGCAGGGGGTATTTCAGCAACCGTTGGAATGGCTTGGACAACGAAATGGCGAGACCAGTCTCGCCCTTATCCGCGGCTGTCTCTTCCAGCTTCTGAAGGTACCTGCAGACTTTGAGCCAATCGTTTGCGTCCTGTTTCTTGGGCTTCTTCGTGGCATAGGCCGTGGACAACGCGTTGTCCACCTGCTCCAACGCTCGCTCAAGGTGCAGAACGTATTGGGCATAGCCATGAAGGATATGCGACTGGTAAGGCTAATTAGTATAAAGTATAGCGAAGTCGAGCGTACTCACGTTTGACACAAATACGTCTGCGAGAGACCGCACGAGGGGATACTGTTCGTCGTACCTCTTTCGCAGGCCTTCACTCAGCTTCTGATGACCCTCGATGATGCTTGACTCGATCACTTCGAGACATCGTCTCAAGTCCTCCGGTAGCTGATGAGGAGGGACTGCGCCCTCAATGACAATACTGTCGGGAGACGTGGAGCTCTTCTTTAGTTTACGAAGAACCCCTTTGGAGCCAGTAGCATTCTTGCGCTCCTGCTCTTTCTCTTTCTCCGACTGACCTACAAAGGATTGCCTGCCGAGGGACTGCGTAGACGCTGCGTTGGGATTTGTGCGAGGAGGGGCAGGTAGCGACTGGTGCGACCGGGATGGGAATGGCACTACCGCGGCTGGCCCGCGTCCCCCTGAAGCTGTCCGAGTGGTGCCATAAGGGGATCGTGGATGATTAAGCTTCGATGCGGGGTTCGTACTGTTTGAAGGCTTTCGCGACGAGGGTGAGTGGAACGATTTGCCCATGCGGTCATCGACCTCGTCCTCTTCATCGGTATCTAGGGATTCACCGTCGATATTGGGATGGTCCTTGCCATCCCTGCTGTTCGACGGTGTAATGGTTGGCGGCACTGCCGTCGGTGTTTCCGAACGAAAGCCGATCGGCGAGAGAAAACGTGCTGCGATGGGAAGATGGTCAAGGGATTCCTGGGGAGAGTCGAAACGGGGGTAGTCATCCAGCTCCAGGGGTGTCGGTGATGTCACGGGTGATGTCGAGAAAGGATGCAGGAGAGGTTCGATGAAAGTCTCCTTCAACTTCACCAGTTCGTTCACATATCTACAGCATCTCATGAGAACAGTTATTGGTGAGAAGTGGCATAAGACTTACCTCTCCTCGCTCGCTACTATCTCCCATAAGACTTCCTGCCTGGTACGTTCCCTGGGCCCCAGGTTCGTGACCAGATCCTCTTCCGCTCCCTCGCTCCAGGACGACACGGCTAAGATACGGCTACTGTTCCCAGTCATCTGTGAATATGGTGTACCGGAGCGAAGTGACTGGTGAAGGGAGGCTGCATCTCCAGCAACCTTGGGATAAGGGGATGTCGCCGACCGCGTGGACGTGGGTTTGGCCGCGCTACTCGTGGCTTTGCTAACGTCTGTCTTGGACGCGGATGCGGATGTAGATGTAGATCCACGAGGATCCTTGCCATGTGCGGCCTGGAAACGCGATACAGTTGTTTTCAGCGGAGCGCCTGTTGTCGCGCCGTTCGCAGGTGCATCAGCGGGCAACGCGCGATCGCCTGAAGGTCCGGGAGTAGGCGGAGGCGACAGAAAGGCTACCTTCTTCGGGGCATCACTGCTACCAGCAGCCGTGTTGACGCTTCCGTTGGCAGTCTTTCGCGAACTACGTCCCGCTGAGTCGGGCTCCGAACGAGGCGGGTGTAAGTCTTCAAGACCCAGCGCATCGTCTTGACCCCGCTCTGCAGCAGGGGTCCCTACAGGAGTTGAGGACTGGTGGGTAGTAGTGGTACCGGTCGCGGAAGAATCGGTCGATAGGGAGCGTATAGGTTGGTCAACAGGGGGTAAAGCGCGTGTTCCGATGTCGGGCAGAGGTTTGCGCGAGTCCACCGACTTGGGCGTGCCCGTCGCAGGTTGTGCAGGCGGCCATTCCGGCAAAGGGGGGAGCGCTGGTAGTTTCTCCTTCTTGAAGGGGTAACTATCGTCTTTGGCGGGCTCGCGATCCTTCTCCCTGGTGATGCTCCTGTTGAATCGGTTGAAAAGCGCCTTCATGGCGAGCTGGGGGGCGTTGCGCGCCGCTCAGGAATATGTACGGCGAACAGGCGCAGCAACGATGAGAGTAAGCAGAAGGAACGTGTAGGCCGTGCGGGCAGGCTGGTCCATGCAACGGCGACCAGACTCGCGAGCGCGGAAGCAAAACAAGGCTATACACTTCTTCACCTCACGCTTCGGGCGACTACCATACGCTATCTGCCTCTGCCCGCTGCTGTCCGCCTCTATGTCTTCCCCGCCGCTGCCAGCGCATCACACAAAGCATATTCCATTGCTCGATTATCCTTTCCTGGGCCGTCGTTTCGCTCTGCGACAGCTTGACGACGGCAAGGCGAATGGAACTGCGCTGTGGCTGGGCGCGCAGTGCATGTCACTCTATCTTGCGGATATCTCCACGAAACTCCAGCACTCTGGTAGATCCGAGTCGAAAAGGCGTCCCAGAGCCGTTGAATTGGGGAGCGGGATAGGGCTGACGGCGTGGGTGACGCCTCTCTCATTCGGAATACGCTACTCAGTACGTCTGGGTGCCATCATCGCAGCCTGGCGCTATCATCTCTGGGCTGGGATGTCCTTGCCACTGACGTCTCCAACGTTATCGCCGCTGTCCTCAGGGAGAACATCTCCACGAATGCCGCTGTCATGACCGGTGATCCTGGCTTGATTGAAGTTCGTGAGCTGGATTGGACTGTTCCGCCGTCGGACTGGACTTGGGCGGATCACGAAAGCATAACATCTCCCTCGCAGACGTGCCTTACGGAGAGCTCTGAACTACTTCGGCCGCCATTTGACCTAATCGTCACGTCGGATACTCTGTACACAGAATCCCTGTGCACGCCGCTTCTCCGCTCACTCCATGCACTCTCTGCTCAATCAGTCCAGTCGACATCGAAGGGCTCTCGCAGTCCGCCGGTATATATCTGTGTTGAACGTCGCGACCCTGCTCTTATAAACCGAGCACTATCTGAGGCAAAGGATACATGGGGTTTCGTTGTCGAGCGTGTTCCACAGAAGAAACTCACGAAGAGCATGGAGAAAGGCGCACTGGTGTGGACTAAGGACGACTGGGATGGCGTGGAGATCTGGCGGATGACATTGGGTTAGACGGTTATTCTATGTGAGCTCGCTCTATTCGCCATTGCCACAAATATACCTCGGCCGGACCTCGGACTTCTGCCTCTGTCATAGGTATACTGTTCCACATCTACATTATTGCATTCGACACTTAACTTGCCTAGGTGGTCAGCTGGGGCCATGATGAGTTTTACCTCAGCATAATCTCAGCGCTTGGTCACAACGGCGTAATGTGCCCGCTCACATGAAAGTGACAAGAGGACGCTGCAATGATGTGGAACGAAGTACTACTGCTTTGCGATTTCGGAATCCTCGAAGCAAGGCAAAAGCTTGTAATATGTTCCATACGAGTCTACTTATAATACACCCAGTCGTAGGTACAATGTCCTGGCCAAGAACAGGAAAGGCGTCAAGAGCGTCAAGTCGTCTCAGAGATTAGCATCTATGTACAAACAGTCCATGGTCGATCAAGTCACACGATCAGTAGGATGACCGTAGTCGCATCCTCAGTAGGTGCCAGCTTTCCTCGAACGTCTATTTAGAGAAGGTAATATATAAGCCCTGACATGAATTCAAATGGTATGAAAAGGAGTCTTCTCACCTTCTGTATCTTCCTCCGCCGAAGCCGCAAATTCCTGCGCACGCGCCCAATAGCGAGAGCCACAAGGCAATGGTGGCGCCCAGAGTCATCCAGATCTGCATAGACACGCTCGTCAGGCACGCTCGCGCACTCAGTCGACTGAACACTAACGGCGTTGCCGAACGCGAACCAGAGGTCGCCGTCGGTCTCGTTGTGCACTTTGGTGCGGACTACCGCCACCGCGATGACGTCAATGAGGAATACTGCTGTCGTGACGAGTGTGGCTAGGAGCCCAAAGATCAAAGTCAATATGGAAGCGCCGCGAGCCGTTCCGGGGCGTAGCATTGCCAGCGAGGTGAGTAGAGCGAGAAATGCTAATCCGCATGCTAGTAGAGAGATACGGCTGTCAGCGGACATTGGTATAGCGCAGGAGTTGCCAGTTGCGCCACAGACCTATTGGGTGCAGAACTAGGACGGCCGTTACGGCTTTGGAGATAACGTGAGGATTATAGCCACGAGATTCCCTAGACAAACATGAGGTTGAAGGCTGGAGAGGTGATGCAGTGGTCATACAGGACGCTCCCAATGATCCCGTTCAAGTCATAGCCCAGATGACGCGGAGAGCAAGAGCCTGGCGTGGTCTCGCTGACGCCCAAGACACTGATTTCAAGACGATGAATTGTGAGGCATGCAGGGAGGGCTGAATTAGAACTCACGAGACGGTGACAGCGTCGACACAGTAACCCCAGACTCCGAAACGAGCATTACTGTGGGCATCAGCAGTGAGGGCACTGACAGCTACATTGGCGTAGAGCTTGAATATGTAGATGGTCTTTATAATAGGCACGGAAAGAGAGACAAGGAGAAGCAAGAGGAAAGCAGCAAATATGAGAAAGGGGGCGATTGCGTCTAACATGTGAGAAGGACTGAAGCGTACAGCTGCGTGAGGAGGGGACGGTACAGGACTTTATAAACGCCTCAAGGCGTTACAAGGTGGAGTGGGCCGACATTACAGGAATGACGTCGGGCCCCCTTGTATATAGCAGCCACGTTGAACGCGTCCGATCAGTTGCAGTGCATGCCATTGACAGAGGCTCCGCAGCGCTATACACGATCGACAAAGGCATTCCAGGCTGCAGCATCGTCCTGCGCGGTGGCCAGCGCACGTCAAGACAGCGCCCGGCCGTGTGAAATAGGGTATTGCTGAAACAACTAACACGGCATAGCCCGGAGAAGCCCAGAAGATCACTTGCTGAAAATTTAGGCCTTCGACCCCAGACAAGACAGCAGTGAATCCCCCCACCGCACGCTCGCGAGCAACGCGTCGGGCCCAGCGGAAGCTCAGAGCTGGTAATAATATAGGGATTCACGTTGAGGCGAGCCCAGCGACAGGAATGATGCGATTGTCGACATCCAGAGCACATTTGATTAGGTTTCGGTGAGACCGCTTCCATCATTTTTCGGGGTCGTCGCGACGTGATTCGCTTAGTCGAGTCACGCTTCGAGGCCCTCCCCTTGTGAGAACGGCGGGGGGTACCGCTACTCCGCTGCCCTTATAAGCACAAGGCGGACGGCCTGAGCACACGTAAATCAGGGCGAGCCGGGCGCAACGGCGACGGGATCACTGCAGTACACGGAAGAAATTCCGGCTGGAAAAGAAAAACATACGAGATCGCAAGGGCGCTGATACGAAGAAGCGGGCAGACCACACTGGGACGAAGTCCGGGGTCCTTGGTTGCTTCTATTTGGTTCCAAAAGCCAAGCCAAATAAGGATAAGAAGAGCGCGTCCCAGCAACTGCTCTCCTATCTCCCTCTCTCTCTTTTCTCTCTATACCTCCTCTTGGGTCGAGGCAGCGTTCCCGCCCGTTTCTCTCTCTTGTGTCTTATTATCGGTTCATCGTGAGTCGCTTTTTCTACTCGCTTTCTCCTCCTGCCGAACCTTTGTTTTCGCCCTCCCTTTGTACTCCTGTCCTTATAATAACTGACACGTAGCCCTCGTCAGCTCCCACCTAACACCTATCGTAATGTCTGCTGAAGCCGCTCCCGCTGCTCCCGTCGAGGAGGTTAAGCCTACCGAGACCCCCGCTGCCGAGCCTGAGGTCCCCACTGCTGAGGTCCCCAAGGCTGAGGAGCCCGTTCCCGCTACCGTACGCGTCATTTCTCAGTCTTGCGACTAGTCCCACTCATTGTTTCGTAGGAGGTCGCCGTCGCTGCCCCCGCCGCCGAGGAGCCCAAGGCCGAGGTGAGACGCGTCGCTTCCGCCCATCATCCGCTATTTTTCTCAATCCGTATTCTAGCAACCGGAGGCTGCTGCCCCTGCTGTCCCCGAGACCACCACCGAGGCTGCGACGGAGGAACCCGCGAAGGAGGAGGCCAAGCCTGCTGAGGAGGCCGCCCCTGCCGCTGAGGCACCCAAGAAAGAGGAGAGACCCAAGAGCCCTGGCTTGTTCTCCAAGCTGCTCGCGCCCTTGAAGAAGGCCAAGGGCCCGAAGAGCCCCAAGGCTGAGAAGAAGAAGGAAGAGGTTGAGGTGCGCCTATATCCTCCAGGGTCCCCTGGTATACGTTAACGTCTCGTCGTAGCCCACTCCTGCTCCTGTTGCTGAGGAGCCCGCTAAGGAGGAGGCCAAGGCCGAGGAGACGCCTGCCGCTCCCGCTGCCGAGGAGGCTGCGGCTGCTCAGGCCGCCGAGCCCGTCAAGGAGACGTGAGTGCCTGATCTTTCCATGTCATTTGTCTCGGTAACTAACAACTATTCCCAGTGAGGTTGCTGCTGCCCCCGAGGCTGCCCCTGAGAACGCTGAGGCCCCCAAGGAGGCCGCAACGGAAGCAACCGAGGCTCCCAAAGAGACCCCCAAGGAGGATAAGGTACATTCCTTGAGCTTTTAACAATTGTTAACGATTCGCTAATGATACCTCTACAGAAGGAGGATGCTAAGAAGAGCAGCAAGGTCGGCCGCCGCTTGTCGGCGCGTGTTGGTGACTTCTTCAAGCCCAAGCACAAGGAGTCCCACAACACTCCCCCGAAGGTCGACGAGAACCCTCCTCAGATTGAGGAGCCCGCTGCCGTCGCTCCCTTGGAGAACCCGGCCACTGAGACCGCTGCTGCTGCTGAGTCCGCCGCCGCCGAGCCCGCGAAGACGGAGGCCCCCGCAGCCGAGCCCGAAACCAAGCCCATCGAGGCTGCTCCCACACCTGTCGCCGCTGCCGCATAGACTCCATGCCGTTGAAGACCTTCAACGCCCATCGCACGATAGTCACGAGCCCTCTGATCATCTCTCCTTGTCATTTTCGCGTCATCTTTGGAACCGCCTTTTTTACCCATGATTATGTCTTCTGTTTCGTCGCTCAGCATTTCATTCATTCATTTATACCTTACTCTCGGATTTGGGTTTTGCGTTTGATTACTACCTTGACGACTCTACTCATCACGATAACCCTGGTCCGTGTTTTCCACCTAATTAGTCGTGGCGATCCTGTGATTCTATTCTGCATACCCCATCTTTCTTTTCTTCATTGGATCGCTATAGCATGTGCCTAGTATTCTTGTAATGATCTTTTCCTGCAAGAATGGGTGACATGGCACACATGTGGAAGTAGACAAGAAATATACCTGATCCGGCCCACCAGCATGCAGTGACAACATGAGTCATTTTTACATCGACGCGATCGTCCCTGGTATCTGCAGCTTTACTGTCTTTGACTGAACTGTACGATTATGCCGCCAAAATCTTCCAGTGTGGGCAAGGAAAGGTTGCTCGACCAGGAGGAAGAGCCGTTGCAGGCGGTCATCCTCGCGGATAGCTTCAACAAACGGTTCAAGCCACTAACCCTCTCTAAACCTCGGGTGCGTCATATCCAAGATGATAAGCGACCGTACCATTGATCTAGCTTTGGAATACGAATAGTGTCTCTTGCCGATATGCAATGCCCCGTTACTAGACTGGACGTTTGAAAGTCTATCCCTGGCCGGCGTCCAAGAGATCTTTGTGATATGTCGGTCTCATGCCGACTTGGTGAAGACGGCTATACGGTGGGCCACTTCTTGTGGTCCTCTCGACCGGCGCTGAATCGGTGCCATGTAATTCAGAGAGTCCAAATGGTCCAAGCCGAGCTCGGGGCTGAAGATCGTGCCTATCATGACCGCGAAGGAGACGTTCTCGCCGGGAGATGCTATGCGCGACATCTACACGCGGGGGCTCATTACCACGGACTTTGTCTTGGTCAATGGGGATTTGGTGAGCAATGTTAGGATCGATGAGGTGGTCCAGGTGCATCGGGAACGGCGGAAGACGAACAAGGATGCTATCATGACTATGGTGGTGAAGGAGAGCGGGGCCAAGCATCGGACGAGGTGCGCGTGTGCTTGTACTGTTTGTTCTGCAGGTTTTTGAATCGTACGGGTATCATTAGATCACGGGGAGATTCAGCTGTTTTCGTCTTAGATGCTGAGTCCTCGGAGTGTCTACACTATGAACCCGTAACCGGCTACCCACCGAAGACGCACGTCGGCATCCCCAGGGAAATCTTTGCTGAACATCCTGAGGTTGAGATACGAAACGATCTCATAGATTGTTCTATAGATGTATGCTCTGTTGAGGTGAGGGTTTACGCTACGATGCGAAGTACGCAGACGTAACTCTGTCCTCGCAGGTACCCTCCCTTTTCCAGGACAACTTCGACTGGTTAGATCTCAGACGAGATTTCGTCCATGGCGTTCTGACGTCTGATCTGCTCATGAAAAATATCCACTGCTACGTGGTGAAAGAGGGTTATGCAGCGCGCGTAAAGGATACCAAGAGTTACGATTCTATCAGGTATTTTGTGTCAATTCCTGAAATCAGGCGGGCAATTGACTCTAGTCCTTAGCAAGGATATCCTTTCTCGGTGGACGTTCCCCTTAGTTCCCGACGATAACCACCCTGGGGGTCATGCCTATGAGCACTTGCGCGGAAATAGATATATCGCAAAGGATAACACGGTGGTATTATCGAGGTGCGTGCAAAGCGAGTCCGTCTTGACAAGTACTTATGCATCACCTTTCTACCTCCGGTAGAACCTGCAAGGTTGGCAATAACACGCTGATCGGGTCCTCGACGCAAGTCTTCGATAACGCTCAGATCATTTCGAGTGTGATTGGTCAAAGATGCAGAATTGGGCCCGGCACCATCATCAGCAACTCCTACGTTTTCGATGGTACTACGATAGGCGCAAACTGCGTGATCGAGAATAGTATCATAGGGTCGAAAGTCAATATCAAGGATAAAAGCCGCGTGGAAAGAGGATGCCTTATTTCGGACGGCGTCATCTTGGGCCCCGAAGCGAAGCTAAGGCCTTTTGAGCGGGTGTCAAAGAGGAGAGACACTGAGGGCAGTAATGATGGCGACGAGGAGGAAGAAGAGGAAAGTGAAGACGAAGACGAAGAGGATGGCGAGGATGGAGATGATGATGAGGAAGATGGCGACGAAGAGGAGGACGAGGAGGATGAGGAAGATGATGGTGAGGAATCTGATGAAGAGGCCTCGGATTCAGAACTGGAAGAGGCTGAAGCTAGTGAGTACCCTTGTGGACGGCGGCGATTGTTGACTTTAACTCTGCGTAGATCAAGCCGCTATCGGAGCAGTACTAGGCAAAGATAGTAACGCCATAGCATGGCCCCTCCGGTCGGCAGACGACGAGGACGAAGACGCAGATGAAATAGAATCATTCAATAATCAACGTCTAATGCGGCTGGGTATGTGTCCTTCTTACATTTCGTTTGCCCAGCAGGCTGACCTCAAGACCTAGGGGACAATGCTTCCGACCTGGACTTGACTGATCCGGGATCTGTCACCTCCTCTGAGACAGCGAGCGACAGCGAAGATGAAGACGACTTCATGACGAGTAGTGCGGCCCGAGCGTCGTCTTCTGCGACATCCCTGCCTTTGACAACCCCTTCCACCGAGATGCTCGTACCCCCTCTAGCCTCTGCGGCCGAGAAGGAATTCCAAAGCGAGGTGACTCAGTCTCTGGAGCGCGCATTCGCGGAGGGCCATTCCGTCGACAACGCCGCCGTGGAGCTGAAGACCTTGCGCATGTCTACGAATGTACCGTTACGCAGAGTACGGGAGGCCGTTATCGCTGGTATTGTGGAGCGAATCCCTATCGTGGAAGGGAACATGGCACAGCAGAGGAAGGAGATTGCTAACGTTGTGGATAGGTGGGGAGAGCTTATCAATAAGATAGGAGGAGTCGACGCCGTTGAGACTGTCTCCATATTGCAAGTAAGTAGTTAATAAGCCAGACATCCTAGGATGTATGCTGACGTCGTAACTTTATTTAGACGCATTGTGCATCATCACCACGCATGGCCCTCTTTGGTCAGATCCTCGCCGCACTCTACCAGAATGACCTGGTGGAGGAGGATGACATACGCGAATGGCATAAACAGCCTGCATCGAAGGGGGAAGGACTCAAGCCAGGAAACTTTGCGGAGAATGTGCACAAGTGCTGGGCAGTCGGAGCCCGCATGATCCAACAGTTTGATGAACAAGAGGAAAGTGAAGAAGAGAGCGAGGAAGGAAGTGAAGAGGAAAGCGAATAAATGTACCACTACAGGTTATGTTTCATGGCGCATCTGGGCAATCACGATACAAACTCTTGCGCTAGTCATTAATCGCAGGGTATCGTGGATAAATTACAGCCCGTCAATTAACATACAACTGAACACGTCAAAGTCGTCATGGTCCTACATCGCACAGCGTCCTCAAACTCCTTCAAGAATGTACGATCCTTCCATCTCAATACTTCAGGATGATGTAGAGAGCTATGCCAAACATAGTCAGTAACTGGAAGACTAAGGTACATATATGAGCTCACCATGAATGATTCCGGGGCTGGTGACAGGCGACTCGTCAGCGATACGCATTCGCAACAATAGATTTGAGACTTACATGTATCCCAGGATGGTCTACAAGAACATCATCATCGTAAGTACGAAGCCTTATGAAACACAGTCGAATGGACTTACCAAAAGGATGTTGATCAACTGTATTCGATCCACCGGTCAGACTATGTGATAATGAACGCAACGCGACACTACTCACGAGGTCCGCACCGCATCCTCGCTCAAGGAAGACGCCAATGGGAGGGACGAAGATTGCGAAACTGGTTTACGATGTCAAACGTGGTGCAACGGCAGGAGCCAGTTCGGGGACTTACAAGATCTGAAAAAGTGGGTTCAGACCGAGGGCCGTGCAAGAAGAGGGCAGTAACATACCTTGCAAATATCAGATGCAGTAAAAGCCATTTTTGCTAAGAATTATCTGGTTTATAGGCGTGTCGCAGATATGTGGGTGGTCGATGAAAATTCTGAGTAAGTTCAACGCGCGACGGGTCGCCTTATAAACGGGCGACAGGTGCATGACGGCGATGCGCCTGACGTCATCGACCCCGACACATATAGCTGCGGCCTGTGGGAGACTGACGTCGTCCTCACTGTATGCCGTCTGCACATCCGTGTGCGCAGGCGGATTAGTACGTACAGCGACGCGTAGGGATGCATGCAAGGCATCACTGCATGTCCAACGTACTCAAGTTTAGTTGTCCAAGTACTCTACTCATGCGCGCCAGCAGAGCTCACGATCCGAGTTTGGCGACCCAAGTGCGCTTGGTACTGTGGAATTTGTGATACACTTTCCCTGTGCCAGAGAGGGCACGGAGAATTATCCTCTGTCCTGCGAAGCTGCAGCAATGCATGCATGGCATACGATATGCACAACATCCCTGCTTCACCATCCATCCCGCTCCAAGTTTGATGTCTTTGCCTTTTGAAGCCCAGAAGCATCGTAAGCCCATATCTACCCAGTAGCAGCCAAAGTTATGGATGTTCATGGGCAGACTCATCCAAGCTGCATGTCTGTGGCTTGTGGCGTTAATATTGTGTGGCCAATGGCCATGCTCAGAAGCGCCCGATACAAATCTGAGATCGTTTGCAGATCTGGCTTCTCAGGGAGATCACGTGACTCAGATTTACCAAAAGATTCTCGAGTCACTTCAGGTCAAGCACTTGAACAGACTTGAACATGGCTGATCAACCGACAAAACAAAAGCTATGGGGTGGGCGGTTCACGGGAAAGACAGATCCTCTGTAGGTATATCTACCGTTCTAACTTTTTTCTCTAATCAACGCCACTTTTAGTATGCACGCGTTCAATGAGTCTCTGAGCTACGACAAGCGCATGCATGCCGCCGATATCAAGGGCTCCATTGCATATGCCAAGTCTCTGACTCTCATTGGCATCTTGACGAAAGATGAGGAAGCGAAAATTGTTGAAGGTCTCAAGAAAGTTGGCCAGGAATGGGAGAACGGCACTGTTAGTCCCCGTATCCTTTATCTTCGGTACATGCTGAAGGAGGTCTGTCCAGTTTGAGGTGAAACCTGATGATGAAGACATTCACACCGCGAATGAGAGGCGATTGAGCGAGTTGATTGGTCCTCTCGGCGGCAAGTTGCACACGGGACGTTCTCGCAATGACCAAGTGGCCACGGATATGCGCATCTGGCTCCTTGATCAAGTGCAGGACATCACACAGTCTCTGAAGGCATTCATTCGCGTCATGGTAGAACGCGCGGATAAGGAGAAAGATTATCTTCTCCCTGGATATACTCACCTGCAAGTGTGTTATCCGAAAGTATTTTCGTAGCTAAGTGATATTGATATCGCCGTTCTTGCAGCGCGGCCAACCCATCAGATGGTCACACCTGCTCCTATCACACGCCTTCTCCTTCCATGCAGACTATCAGCGCCTCCAGCAGCTGATTCCCCACATCTCCGTCCTGCCCCTAGGTTCTGGTGCCTTGGCAGGCAACCCTTTCGCTGTCGACCGCGAGTTCCTCGCCAAGGAGTTGGGATTCCAGTTTCTTGCTGAGAATAGTCTGTACGGTGTCGGTGACCGCGACTTCATCGCAGAGTTCATGATGTGGGCGAGCCTGACAATGGTGCACCTGAGTCGGATGGCTGAAGATTTGATCATCTACTCTACCGCTGAGTTTGGATTTGTCACGCTCAGTGATGCGTATAGGTTCGTCTTGGTCATGTGTCAGTGCTACCTAAAGCACCAGCTCACTATCATGTCCAGCACTGGATCGAGTATCATGCCTCAAAAGAAGAATCCTGATTCCTTGGAACTTCTCCGGGGCAAATCAGGGAGGGTATTCGGCAATGTGAGCTCGTAGTTTATTGATTGTGGCATTTGATCTGAGTGCCGCGTAGATGTCAGGTTTCTTGATGACGTTGAAAGGCTTGCCTTCCACGTACAACAAGGATCTTCAAGAGGACAAGGAGCCCTTATTCGACTCCGTTGCCACTATCTCGGCATGCCTAAAAATCTCAGAAGGTGTCATCTCCACTATGGAGGTACAGGCCTATTCTACGACGGTGAATCACAAAAGTCTGACAGCCCTTACTAGGTGCACGGGGACAAGATGCGCAAAGCGCTGACCATGGACGTCCTTGCTACGGATCTCGCGGACTATCTGGTCCGCAAGGGAGTAAGACACTTTCAGGGCCGCTGTCACCTTATCTCTAACAGCGCTTGATACAGATACCGTTCCGGGAGACCCACCATATCTCTGGGCGAGCCGTGGCCTTGGCTGAAGCCCGAAAATGTCAACTGAACGAGCTCTCACTCCAAGACTACAAGAGCCTCAATGAGAAGTTCGAAGAGGATGTTCACCAAGTATTCGACTTTGAGGCGAGTGTAGAGCGGCGACAAGCCATCGGGGGACCTAGTAGAAAGATGTTGGAGAGGCAGATTTCGGTCTTGAGGAATGCTTTGGAAAACTAAACTGCGCCTTTGTCCTGCCGTAGTCGTTGCACAGTTCATGGCTATGTTTCAATCTTAATTCCAACCGAAACAACGAAGGCTTCAGCCACCCCGCCCTCAGAGCTGTGCGAGTGTCACACACGCAGCCAATCGGCCGTTGCCGTCTATTTATGTTCCCCACCATCACTGGCGCTCGACGCCGAATACCCCCTGGACCGTCGACGCCGCTAGACCGCTCTGCTGTCTCACCGCCTCTCTTTAAACGCCCTTGATAACCCCCCTCGCTACCCGACCTGCTGTAGCATTGACTGCTGCCAGCAATAAACACTAATACCCACTCCACGCTTGTCTCCACACTTCTTCCCTGACGCGACGTTACACGGTATCCATTAGTTACCACCATGGCCAGAGACAGATTAGCAGCTATGAGGGTGAGCGCTGCTGCCTCGCGGGACTGGATTGTGCGCTTATGTTGATGTGTTGCAGGCCCAACAGCAGGGTGGCTTCAATGACTCGTGAGTTCAGCGCGACCGCCCTATGTTTACTCTTTCTTGACTGCCGTACAGGAACTCGTACCCCACGCAGGCTTCCGGGGGCTACAGCAGTCGACGCGCCAACCCATATGCTCAGCAAGACGACCGCAGCTATGAGATGTCTGAAGTCGCTGGAAGCACAGTGCATCTGACGTCTAACATGGCGGCTGGCGGCGGAGGCGACAGCATGACGGAATTCTACAATGAAGTACGGACGGTTTTTTGCAATCAAGCATACACGATACTGACTGCTGGCTGCAGATTGCGTCGCTCCAGGACAGCATACGCGCTTTCAGTGACAACGTCGCCCGTATCAGCGACCTCCATTCGCGGTCTCTGAACAACATGGACGATGCCGCCGCACAACGGAACCAGCAAGACCTGGAGGATCTCGTGCAAGAGACGAGTGCGCTGAGCTCCCAATTGAAACGTAGGATAAAGGATCTGGAGCGGCAGGGTGGTGCTGGGAGGGATGGCCAAATCCGTAAACAACAGGTTCGGCGCATTACTCTAGTTCCATGCAAATTGAAGTTGCTAACAAGTGTTCCTCCATGCTAGACGGCTTTGGTGAAGTCGAAGTTCGTAGAGGCTATTCAAAACTATCAGGGTGTTGAGCAGCAGTATCGGCAGCGATACAAGCAGCGGATGGAACGGCAGTTCAAAATTGGTATATCTGCCTTGATCTCGTACGGAGATACATGCTTACAGGATTCCGCGTAGTGAAACCGGATGCCACACCAGAGGAGATCAAGGCCGTCGTTAACGACGAGTCCGGCGGTCAGATATTCAGCCAAGCTGTGAGCGGCCTATCGTTTGGGGCTACCCGATTCTTATTAATTGAGCATCTTCGTAGTTGATGAACTCTAACCGGTATGGCGAGTCACGGGCAGCATACCGTGAGGTGCAAGCGCGGCACGAAGATATCAAGAGGATCGAGAGCACGCTGGCGGAGCTCGCACAGCTTTTCAATGATGTAGGTTCCTTGCAGTCAATCAACGACTTGCCTTACCCCTCTCCTATAGATGAGTATCCTTGTTGAGCAGCAGGATGAGCAAATCAACACGATCGAAGCTACCGCTGCCAACGTCGAGAAGGACATGGAAGTCGGGTGAGTAAATAGTATTACTCGTCCTCGCGTACGGCCGTGTTCATAATCGTTGTTTAGTCTTAATTACACCGAGAAGGCAGTGGACTCGGCTCGTGCTGCGCGAAAGAAGCGATGGATCTGCTTCGGTATCTCACTTGTTATCCTCGCCATTATTGCCATCGTCGTCGCTATCGAGGTCGTTCAGCGCGTCAACACGAACAAGAGTTCGTCAGATGGCACTAAGACCGTCACGGCAAGTGGTTCAGCGGCTCCGTCCACCGCAGCCGCGGCGGCAGCTGCTGTCGCAACAGCAGTTGTCACTGGAACTCCAACCTAGCATTGACTATATACCTTCAGAGTGGTTGGTTGGTTCTCGATTCCTGCGGGTGTTCTGTCGTCTATGTATATTCAGACCCATTTACCCTGGACATTTATTTATGTGCCATAGCCCTTTACGTCGGGGCTCCTTCGCACATCAGCGTAGTGTTGCTCCTGCAGTGAGGTGACTTTGCAGACTGTCTCACTTCACTTCAAGTTTGACGTACTTCACCCACTGCACAGTTGTCCTGAATTGCCTTTGAAGACTGCATTGAAGTCTGATCATGGCCACGTGCTGACCGTTAATGGCAGCGCGCGCCACCAGACGCGCTCGCCCTGCGTCCAAGTGGTGTCCGAGTCGCAGAGTCGCATCTACTCCGCGTCATACCCCGTGCAGAGATAACAATAGAACGGCTGTGGCAGATAACCTCCATGATATGCTGGCAGTTTTCACTGGGCTCAAGAAATTTGTCAGGAGTCCATATGACAAGGTGTCGACTCGACTTTTGGTATTGTACATCCTGGCAGATGGTATGGGCATTATTAGTGTATTTAAGAGTACAATGTATATGCAGATATCCCCAAGTTCATCCTACGAGGACAAGTCAGTGCCTTCACCACGCGTACGTGGGAATATTACGGGATATTCCGTGGCTGATCTGCCCACTTCAATGAAGGCGTTGAAGCGCCTTCAACTTCACTTCACTCGGGTTGAAGTGTCAAAAACTCCACTGTGCGACACTGCAACTTCACTGCAGGAGCAACACTACATCAGCGAGCCTCAGAGGAAGCACCACGTCCTCTCGGATACATCTTATTATACGATCAGCTATTTCCATAGTTTCCGGATAGTGATAAGTATAAACATGGACTGTTGACGGATGGGAGCTACGGGGATCCGCGATTGTTGTCAGAATGGGCCGTGTGAAACAGCCGCTTCCCCATTGAATTCACAAAAGGAGCCAAAAGAGTCGGGCAGTCCAACGGAAGTAAAAGTGAAACGCAGGACTTTAAACTGGCATACGGCGTGAGCAGGCTCCGAGCAACATCCTGAACGTTCGGTCACGGTGCAGAAGCGGGGGCGAAGGCAAGCAATCCAGTTCAGAGGCTCGGATGCTGACATTTTACGGACAAAGGTTGGACATGCTGTGCGTTGGGAGGCATAACTCTGGTGCGCGTAGTCTGACAAATAAGGCGGGGGTATGTCGATACGGAAGCCATGCCGTCCCGAGCGGGTCGCCAGTTTTCCGGCGAGCGAAATTTCAGCGGTAAATTTGCAGGAATTCGTAGAACAAATGATGCATGTTGCAACAGGCCGTGGACTGTCATAAGCAACGTGTATAAAGCATTGTTGAAAGGCATCAGGCAGGCGGAACTCTTTGGCAGAGGCCACGTTGTTTTGTTGGCACCGCCAATTGCCAATGGCAGCGGGGCGGCTTCGGCTGCGAGAGAGGATCTCAGATCGACCTCATTATGTCACGTGACCCAACCTAAGAGGGCTGACGCGTCCCTCCCAGTGCTCCCTATATAAGCCTCCGCTCCCGCTCGCCTTCCGGTACGTCCCACCTTATCTGCAACTCACTCTCCGACACTGTCCGCCCCCTCTCCAGCTTAGCCTTGTGAGTTGTCGCCTTCGTCGCCATCTTCCCAGCACATACTGACTCCGTCCTCGTCGTCAGACTCCCACTCTCACGTACTTACGAACGTCATGGCTGGCAAGAAGCGCTGTCAATTCACCGCCGAGCAACAGTGCAACTCCGCTGCACTCCGTCTCGTTGGCTCATGCCCGCACTGCAGACATGAGTTCTGCGGCAACGTACGTTGGCACCCCATTAACGCCGCTGGAATTTGCCACTAACTTCGCATCCTTCCTCCTATTAGCACCGCCTCCCAGAACATCATAACTGCACCAACTTGCAGGACTGCAGACAGCAGGCTTTCGAGCGCAACAAGGCTAAGCTGGAGAGCGAGCGGACGGTGGCCCCCAAGATGGCCATGGCATGATGACCCTTCACCACTCCCCCATTTATCCCCCATCTACCCGTCATCATCCCGTCCCACCATAGCCTGCTAATCAGGCCTTTAGTGACTGCAGACCATATCTCGGACACATACATACCACCATTTATCACGACTATCTTCATGTATCAAGTTGTATTTCTCCTCATCCAGGATTATAGAGTCACGGTATAATATTACACGGCATATTGTGCGGGTTGTGTACACCTTATGTTTTGGACATTGCAGCTGTCGTTTGCCAGCGTTCATAAGAGCATAGCATGTGTCCAGTCATATGAAATGGATGCGCTCTGGATGGGCGGTATTGAGGTCGCGGCACTTGAGCGGCACAGTTAGATTGTGATCCTGATTGCGGGGTGTGCCCAGATCGATTCTCCGCATAAATAAGGTGACTCCAGTACAGTGTCGCGTTCCCCATCCGTTGCTGTCCCTCGACCCATTCCACAACCGGGAACGCTGTGATAGTAGTGAGATTTTGGACTCCTTCCTTCCGTTGCTGCTCATACTTACGACCGACAGGCGCCAAAGCATTTATCACGTGTGCCGGGTCCGCCACCAGCACTTGATATCAAGCTAGCCCGTAAGTCATCATCAGTTGTATACCGTTCATCCCATTAATTGTGCGCCTTCTTGTCCGTTGAACAAATACGCACCCCGCCTGTCTTTTGGTTCCGTCCCTCGATCGCGTATGGCAACGCCCAGGATCAAGCAGGTCTTGAACCACGTATCTGGCAAGAAAGAGATGGCAGCAGGTAGGATCAGCCGGATTAGTACCAGGCACCTTGGTTAGGGTTTGCTGATGTGCGATTGGTTCGTTGGGATTGGTAGAAACTTGGGATAACGTTCCGCTGGCCCCCCCGGACAGGTTCGCAATTTCTTTCATCCGCTGTGCCCCATACCCCGGCTTCACTCACGGAGGCATCGCTGATCTATTTGTTGCAGTATCTTCCAGCTTACTGCCGCTTACAAGGCAGATCCTTTCCCTCAGAAGGTTAATCTGGGGGTGGGAGCTTACAGAGATGACGATAACAAGCCTTGGGTGCTGCCCGTGGTCCAAAAGGTACGTACCGAGCCTTCGCGGGAGCATTCCCAAAATACCTCCTTGTACGTGTTGATCTTGGGCTCTGGTGCACCCTGGTCTAGGCGAACGAGATTCTGCTCAAGGACCCTAACGTCGACCACGAATACCTCCCCATCCTCGGTCTCCCGGAGTACACGTCTGCAGCTGCCAAGTTGATTCTGGGTGCTGATTCTCCAGCGTTGCGAGAGGGTAGAGCCGTCAGCGCGCAGACGATTTCAGGGACAGGCGCGAACCATCTTGGTGCACTATTTTTAAGCCGCTTTTATTCGTGGGATGGGCCGAAGCAGGTTTATCTCAGTAATCCGACGTGGGGTAAGTTGGACCACTCCGATCCCTCCGGAGCCTTCGCTTCTCTATGGATCTCCAGTCGTCGGAAATGAAATGAGGCACTGACTCTTTTCATTTGTGTGCCTGCAGTGAACCACTACCAAATATTCCGTAACGTGGGCATAGAGCCGCTCAACTACCCGTACTATGACCCCAAAACGATTGGCTTGGACTTCGAGGGCTTTCTGAACAGCCTGCGAACTGCGACGCCACGTTCCGTCTTCTTGCTGCACGCGTGTGCGCACAATCCCACTGGTGTCGACCCTACGCATGAGCAATGGGAGAAGATTGCAGATATCATCGTGGAGAAGAAGCACTATGTATTCTTTGATTGCGCGTATCAAGGTTTTGCCAGTGGTGATCTAGACCGGGATGCTAGTGCTGTGCGGTACTTTGTGGAGAGAGGTATTTCATTGCTAGTCTGCCAGGTATGTCACCGCTTCATCTATGAAATCTCATTGGCGTCTTTCATTATGCGGAATTGGCTGATGGTATGTGTATTTGCACTCGTCAGAGCTTTGCCAAGAACGCCGGACTGTACGGCGAGCGTGTGGGTGCACTCCATGTTGTTACCCCCACGAAGGAGGCAGCAGACCGTGTGCGGAGTCAGCTGGCGGTCCTGCAGCGGAGCGAGATCAGTAATCCTCCGGCCTACGGTGCGCGATTGGTATGTAGGCGTGCGCGATGACGATGTCCGGAGCAGTTCTGAACCAGACGCCGGGACTCCATAGATCGCACTCATCCTAAACGACCCGGGACTGTTCGAAGAATGGAAGAGAGACATCAAGACGATGTCGGGACGTATCATTGATATGCGCAAGGAGCTGCACCGACTGTTGAGCCACGAGCTGAAGACGCCAGGGAACTGGGATCATATAATCAATCAGATTGGGATGTTCAGGTTTGTGGAGCAACAGGGTTTCTGACGCGCTGACTTACGGACGTCGAACACGGCAGTTTCACCGGCATTAACGCCACGCAGTCGAAGGCACTCACGGAGAAGGCGCATATTTATCTTACGACGAACGGGCGGATTTCGATGGCGGGGCTGAACAGCAAGAACATCAGGTACTTTGCGGAGAACCTGGACAAGGTGGTGAGGGGCGAATTGTAGTGTCACGGGTGTATCATGACTGGCTGTTGTACTGCGACTGTTGTAATAGACTGTGTATGATCGCAAGGCTGGGTTAGTCGCTGTCAGATAAACAAGGGAGAGATCGCTGATCGGCGGTCGCGGACCATGGTCCCCGCGCGTCCAGGCGCCGCGCCGCGCAAGGTCCGGCAGGCACCGATGGCGGGCTGAATGGTACCGCAGAGGGACGCGGCGGACCTCGGGGGATTGGGTTGTGATCCGAGGACGGGGCAGAAGGCGCGAAGACGGTGACGTCACGGACAGCCTAGACCATGTGGGCAGGAGAGTATACTTAACCTCCGGCTCCTCTCCGAGATTTGTCTGTTTTGTTCTGCTAGTAATTTTCTGCAAAACACTTGTCTTGTTGCGCCGCCAGCTGCCCCGCCTCGCCCGCTGCCCTCCAATTAATTCTTCCGCTCGCAGCTGCCACAAGCCACAATCCGCCGCTTTGTTCCTCGCCCGCCCGTCTGCTGCTCTTGCGCGTTGTACTTGTGGTGTCAGTCACTAAGCGACCGAATACCGGAACTCGTCTTGCGCCTGCAACGAGTTGATGCCAGCCTGCCGCCCGCTCGTCCGCTCGGCAGCAATCTATAACACCCCCTACTGCTCTTGCGTCACTCGCACCCCCCTCCTCTAACCCAGCGGCCTTTTCCGCCGTTTTCCATTCCTCGTGTGAGTTGCTCAGCTGACTTGTCATGCCTTGCTGCTCAACTACTAGCGCTTCTTAAGGACGCGCCTAGGAGTTCGTTTTCGTGCTCTTCTCTTCCATACACCGCGCGTATTGACTTGTATGGGTGCTGCAGTGTCCGTCATTGACCCGACCCCGCTTTACAACAATTTTATCCACCCCGAGCCTGCCGCTCCACGGCACGATTTCCCAAAGCCGTCCATCAAGCCGCCGCTTTCCCAGCTCGCCTTGCCTGATTCGGGCCCTTCCACTAGACCGCCATCACCCCCGCCGATGTATGGCATGCTACCCTCTATTCCCTCCCATGTAAACGCTGGATACGACGAACAACACCCCTCCCCCTCCTTCTCGACGCGTCCTCCATCCCCTTTTCACGAGCGCCCTCCCGGCAATCCTTTCAATACATCTCATCGTACTGATTTTAGCATCGAGATCCCCTCTCCAGGGAATCCAGAACGAGCACCTCCTCCGGATGCCATTCCTAACCCTGATGAAGGCCAGGACTTGGCCTTTGACGATGAATCACTCAGCGCGCTAGAGAAAATCTATTTATTAGCACGTAGCGGTGCCGCATTCCACAGGAAAGTCGCTTAAGCAATATTCATGTGCCCCTTTCTAACGTTCCGTTCTTCTAGCAGGATATATATATCTCACGCCTTAATTGAGTTCCTACAGGAAGTCGCCCCTCGAGAAGCTGTAGACTTTGTTCTACCTCTCTTAAGCAATCTTGCCACTGATCAAGGTATGTCGATGGCAGTAAAAGTGGTTGACCTCATCCCAACGTCCTTCGTTAGAGGAGTCCGTCAAGGAAGCCCTCGCTTGCGAGTTGGTGCCCATCATGTGGTGGTTTATTTCCGTACGTTCATCACTCTGTGCCTCAGAAGTAGGACTGACGCTGGGATCATTGATCGTGCGCATGGCAGAACTGCCGAGTAGTTGAGGCCGAACCGGATTACGAGACAGACGAACCTCTAATCCCCGTGGCTGCCTTCACACCCATCCTTGGGACTCTGCTTTTGAGCCCGAACCGACTGGTAGGAGCCCCTGCTAGAGCCGCTGTCGTGGATATTTTAGCACGTCTGCGGACGGCGCACGATTCGGCTGACAATGGCTTGCTCGGGAACGTGGAGAGGCAGCTCTTCGAGCGCGAGCTGTTGCATCAAGTCGTTATTGGCATGAGCAGACTGGATCAGGAGGGTGAACAGAGTCTGTCGGAGGACGAAGACGACCGCCCAGAAGTTTGGTGGACCGCACCTAGCACGCCTGCTAACCCGGAGTTATTTGCCGGTAACAAAGGCACGGATGCTAGCGTGAACCCGTATTTCCCTGCACTGTCAGACGTTCCCGAGGAGTCTGCCTCACCATCACCTCCGTCTTCAGCTGCGGATTCCCCACAGTCGACACCGTCATCTGGAACACCAACGCCTCTTGCAAGTGCAAGGTCTAATCCTCTCGATAAAGTTTCCGCTGCCTTGTCCCAAGCAGCGGGGACTTCCTCGCCTTCCTCCATCTCCTCCGGATCCTCAGCCTCTTCTCAATCGTCTCAAAGTCTCACACCTGACCTGTCTCCCGCCAGCGGAATGTCAGCTCCTTCGCCAACCTCCCCTCCCGAACCCGTCTCTCCCATTCAAAATGCTGCGCTCGCCTCTCCGCAGGTAAGAGAACATGACGTGGTCGGGCCTAGTACGGAGTCATCCGACTCATGGCTGTCGGGCATTTCTCCGGATGATATGCCGGAGATACACATGCCAGATAAGTTCGCTGGAGGGAAAGATCAACACGCTGGGCAGATGGGCGTCGCCCTGGAGGAAGATGACGCCGATACTCCCTCTGACCTCACAGATCTGGAAACAGATGCCGGGGAACAAGCTGCTGTAGGCAAGGTCTCCAGCATGAGCTTGATGGCTGCTCTCTCTGCTACTTGTGAGTATTTCGATTGTAGTGGCTTCATAGTAGTCTCACTGTGACGCTGCTTCGTAGGCTCGTTAGATGAGGACATCCAGGCTGCCTTTGTCAAAGAGGTCGGTAGGGTCGGTCGCGATCCGATATACTGGGTCAGGAGGGAAGCATCATTCGCTTTGGGTGCTCTCGCCAAGGTTGTACCGTTGGAGATTGTCATAACCTCACTGGTACGTCATGTTTTTGGAGTATACCTCTGCTCGGGTGTGACGCTCATCGGTAATCCAGCTCCCACTATTCGAGTCACTATGCGTTGACTCCGAATGGCACGTACGCCATTCCGCAATATTTGCTTTGCCGGGCCTGTTATCTCGATTGCCTCCCACGCAGCGTCGCTTGTTGGCACTCAAGACGATACCACCCTTGGCTCGAGACCCCGAAGGCCCGGTCCGGTCAGGGTTACTCGAGGCGCTCGGAGAAGTGATATATACTTTCCATAACGACAAGGACGGGCCACCCGACGAATTATTGGACCTATTTCTTGGCAGGAAAGCGAATGATAGCCGGCAGAAGAGGCGCAATACGACACCATCAGCCAAAACTACGCCGAGATCACCGTGGGTCACTGACCCGGGAGATTTTATCCTACTAGGAGACGACCCAGCTCGCCTACTCATATGCGCATTCAATTTCCCTGCGGTGGCGCTCACTCTCGGACGTGCTCGTTGGGGTGAACTCCGCGAGTCTTACGTTGCGCTAGCCAAAGACCCAACACCGAGGGTGCGGAAGACACTTGCTGCCAGTGTCGGCGAGATAGCCAAGATCATTGGGCCTGAGCACTCGAAACGGGATCTTGTGCCGTTATGGCTCGAGTGCATCAAGGGCAGCGATAGCGAGGTGCGGCTTAAAGCCGCCGAGAGCCTGGAGACTTTTGTGGGTGCCCTCGGGCGGCCTGAGAGAGTCGTTGTCGTTCAGACCCTGCAGCAAGCCTGGTCTTCGGGCGCATTGCGGGGTTGGCGGGAGAGGGACGTTGCTGCCCACACCCTCCAGGCTCTTCTGGGGCTTATCGCGGATACTCCTGGTCTTCTCCGGTCGTTGTTGAAGCTTGGGCTGCAAGACGATGTCGCAGCTGTGCGTGCCGCGGCAGTATCTTCCGTACGTCCACTTTCATTATGTTATACATCCGCCATCCTAATTGCAATTGTAGGTACCCGCTTACTTCCGTGTGTTCTCGCAACGCCGGGATATTCTGGAAAGTCTGAGCGAGGATATTCGGCAACTCGCCTCCTCTTCGACCTTCAGGAAACGTAATACGTGCGTATGAATATCACAGGAGTCGTGGCGTAGACTGACTTGGACCTGCAGGTACATCTCGTGCCAGGAAGCCTTGGTCCTTTCGGACGCTGGTCCGACCCTCATCACGGACACTGAGCTCTGGAGGACACTGGCAACCTTGGCAAAGGACAACGTTGTCGACGTCAGGATAGGAGTGTCTCGGCTTGTGCGCCTCATCGTAGGTGTGTATTTGAGAATAATTTATGTTGCTTCTCCCTCTAATTCCAGGTTTAGAAAAGTTCTTTCAGACTTCGCGGCCGTTACCCAATGAGGTTTCGGACGTCATAACCCACTTAAAGGTGGACCAGTCTCGCGAAGTTCGCGCTTTCGCCCCAGAGATGTCCCAATCTCGATTATCGCTAGCGGAGGCAAGACCACCATCGTCCGAGACAACCGCCACCATCTTCTCTCGACCACCTCCATCTAGTTGGGACGCCGGCCACTCCTTATGAACGGCATGGTCTCTTGGATGATTGCGGCCTCCCTTTCGTGCGGATATCACGGTTTGTTCCATTGCAATACCGCGCACGGTTGGGATGCCCGCCGTTTAGAGGGCCGACACCACTTCGATATTGCCGGAGCTTTCATCAGAAGTTGCTCTCTGTTTGCTCTCTTCGTGACTGGTGCCCGCACTTAGCATGCTATTCCGACTATCCACCGCACCACCGTTAGCTGAAGTTCGCCTACAGATATATTTATCTTTCTTGCATGAGGACCTCGCATTATATCTCAATCACTGTATCTCACTGATGCTGTAGTATTACGTTCTCCGTTCAAGTCTAATTATTGTTATTCATCGCTCGCTTGTATGTATAGACGAGTTAATCCAGCTTCGACATTGTAGAAGATCCACCTGTATACTGTAGAGTAGGAAATATAACAGCCCAGGACCTGCAGTTTTCATCGTACAACCCATGAAGCGACGTAAGGGATCGTCTCGCATCATTCCATTCAGAGCATACTCAACGATATACGATGGGCGCTAGAAAGACAATGACATAGTGTGCAGTGATATATAATGTGCAGCCTCCACAACAAATACCGTTCTAAGAGCCCTTTGGAAGCCCAATTAGGTACAATCGTACACGCTGCAACACCGCCATGCTTGGATCTTTGATACCAATCTGCGAGAGCCCCTGCTAGCGTGGCCAAATACAAATACCCAGTTATAGCAAGGTTGTAACTACCGCAGAACCTCACGACGTCCGTCCAGTGCGTCCACGACCAAAACGCCCCTCCTTTCCACCGCGGGCTGGCTCCTTCCTCTCTCTCCATTCTTCATGATGATGAGGTCTCTCATTCTGTATCTCCGCGGCCTGGTGTTCGGTAAAGTCCCCTTTATGCAACGCTTTACCGTGGCTCTAACGTGCAGGTGGCAGGTCTTTTCATCGTTTGCAATGCCATCATCTGTAGCGTGGCCGTCTGGCACCTGGGCCTCGCGCAGACAGTTTCCTACAATCGTGAGCACGCACAACTGTCAACGCCATATTGTCGTACTTATGAATGGACTAGCACCGGTGGATATTTACCTCATTTTCTTGGGCGCTTTTGGTCTCCTGTTCATCTTTGCGATGTAAGTGCGAACCTATTCGGAGTGGCATGCGCGCCCCTAACCATAGCGTATGTAGTATCTGGGTCGATATAATTCGCAAGAATGCTGTAACAAGTCATGTCTGGTTTGAGTGCTTATGGGTTGGTTTGTTTTGGGTGTTGGATCTCGGTATGTTCGCCGGATTGCTCTTGTGGAACTGTTGGCTTATTTTTCGCCACTCAGCTGCCACTGCTGCACTCTCAGCTTCTGCGCCTACTGTCATGTGTTCCCCAGATGGTACATTTACGACGTCAGTCTTCTTTCATTGCACTTATAGGCATTTGCCATTACAGTGAAGCTTGTGGTGCCTCAAGCCTGCACAGCGACTCGAGTACTCGTCGGTTTTACGTGGCTGTCTATGATCATTAGTATGTCTAATCTCGCGCTTCTGAGACAATCCTTGACGCTTGTCGTAGCCCTCATCTATGTGGTAGCTCTCACAATCCTGGCTGTGGTGCATCAAAAACAAAGTACGGACGTGTGGCACACTGGGGTTCGCGTATTTTGTTGGTTCGGGGCACATGAACATCTTGATAGCCGTGCTGGAACGCCGGTGCGTGGGACAGGGCCAGGTGCCATGGTTGCTCCGCAACCTCGTCCCGCAGGCCTTCTGCCCATTTCCGCTCGGTTTGCTCGCAGTCCCATCGACGGTTCGGAAAAGGACCCTGAAAGCGCAATATCAAGCGTATCACATGTGGCCCAACTTCCCCATGTCCAACGTCAGAGCACGCAGCCTCTGGTTGCTTCGTTGTATCCGCAACAAGTGGTCAAGAACCTGCCTCCTGCTGCTTTGCCCCAGCCTGCGCCAAAGGCTTCTGCGACGCGGTCAACGTCGCCGCCTCCTTTGGGAGAGTGGCCTCGAGCGGACATCCTCAGTCGACCTCGCGATACGGGGAGAAAGCGGAGTCAGCAGTCGGTGACGACGCAGCCTCCAGCCCCTGTTCCGACGTCGCCGCTCCCTCAAAGGCCGAGAGGTTCGAGATCACGATCGAGCTCAGGGGAGATACGTCGGCCTCCTCCTTTGGACCTCACCAACATTAGTTTCTTCCGGAATATTGACGAGCGGATTCAAAATCGGGCATAGACTGGATCTGCTGAGCAGAGACTGTATGAGTATGTAGTGTATCCTGTACGAGTAGCATGACCAGCTTTGTATCCTCCTTCTAGTGATAGTATGGGGCTTATGAAAGATGGTGTAGCATAACTGTACAATTTGACAATTTGACGAACATTGACTTCGACTCTGCTGCGAGCCCCTCCGTATAATCACGTTGGGCAACGAAGGGCCTCCGATCGAACGCCCAGGCATTGGTAGCCGAGGATTGCCTTTCTGGGAATCAACGCCAGCGTACGAGTGGTGGCAGTGCAGCTCTACCACTGCTCAGCCTTACTATAAGCAGCGACCTGCGGGACCGTCGGCAACCCTCGTCCCCACCATAGACGGCACTCGGGGCAGTCAATGCGGGCATTTACAAGAGGTATTGTATTCAGAGGACGATTATTGTATCGTTATACAAGTCACAATAAGGACATGAATTGAGTTCTCATTGTCATTGTTCTCTATACGCATTGCACTGCCACCCCCAAGTGTCCAGTGGTCACTTAATTACCCGACGTCAGGCGTTGTGGCAGACCTCGGTCTGTGGCCATCCTCTAGATTTCCTATTTCTTTGCCGGGCCTTCGTTCTCTTCCTCTCTTCCTTCATAACTTATCGGGTGGCAGAGCCATTACGACTTCAACGACTATCCTGTATCCCTAAGACTCTACATCATTGGCTTCCGTAATGGCTACGATCCGGAATCCTTTCGTCGTTGCTCGCTGTGTATTTTTTGGTGAGCGTTTCTCTCGGGCTCCCGAATATCCCCATGGATTGACTTACCCCCTTTTCCGTTTCGCATAGCCATGATTATCTACCTCAACGTGATAGCGCTCATTCTCGCCGCTCTGGACACTGGGATTCTCGTCCACCACGACCTTCATGGTACATCTCTTTCCGTACACGTCTCGCTGCCAGTTTGACTAACTTATCCGCTATGCCACAGTGCCAGGTGCACCTGTATTTATTATAATCAATAGCTGCGCTCTGTCTTTCTTCTCGTTTTTGTGAGTACCTCTAAATATCAGTATCGCTGAGGGATTGAAGCTGACAACGATCGCAACAGCGCCTTTGCAGAACTCTTTGCGGCGAATGCGCGTACTGCCCAAATCAAGTTCGAATGCGCGTGGACTGTCATCCTGAGTATTATGCAGCTCGGTAGGTCGCCGCGAGACAGTTCGATGATACGATTCTGAGACCCGAATTGCAGCTGCTAGTATTGATGCCACCGTGAACGGCCCGCCAGTCTTCTGTCGGATGGATACATCCAAGTGGGCTGTCTGTGCTTCATCCTCCATTCTCGTCCCGACTACGTGGCTGGCGTGCGGTGCTTGTAAGTCAATTCCTCTGGGGAGTGGTGGCATGGATAGCTAACACATGCATACCCTATTAGTGCTCTCCTACTGTCTTCTCCTTATTGGTGTTACGGTCGCCCACTACAGGGAACATTCCGCCATTTGGTCTGCCAGTGTCTACCAAGTACCATGGTTCCAATCCAAGCCCACAAACATGGCCAGGCTCATCCTGCCTTCAACTGTCAAGGATCTGCCACCTTTGCCCATTCGGACCAACTCAGACGCTTCGTCCTTCTCGTCGAGGTCCCGGTACTCGCAGTCAACCGGTCTTCGTGCCGCGCGATCATTCGCGACCGACTCGGAGAAGCAAGAATCTTTTGGACCGGTGTCATTCTATAACATGGGCAAGAACGAGACGTTCGACCGGCCTGCATGGGCAAAGCGCAACGAGACTCGGCGTGGTCTGGACGCGCCCTTCGTGGTCTTCCGCAAGGAGCGTGAAGAGGAGGAGACGTCGTCCACTGCTGCTACTGAAGACAGGCCGGTTGTAGCCACTGCCGGCTCACGATTCCTGGAGCTCCTCCAGGAACCAAAGGCGTCCAGTCGGGTGGATAAGAAGACGGGAGACACGAAGCCTCTTGCGTTTCCCCAGACAGTGTACAATCCTGACGAGCCGATCCCTCTGCCACATCGTTCGCAGTGGGTTCGGGCGGACCAAGCTGGCAAAGGCGGGAAGTAGCCGACTGCAGCAGTATAGACATGGGCGCATGATGCAGACGTCACGTTCTTTTCATGAAACTCTCGTAAATGCCTACCTTACCATCCGGGCTAATTTTTTTGTATTATTAGGGTCGATATCTGCGTGTGTATATTGCGATTACGAATGTATCATAATCAAATAGAAGTGTTTTCTTTCATCCACGGTTACGATGTAAGGTGCATGGGTTACTCAGACTCCGTTCGGCTTTCCAAAGAAGCTATTCGTGCCCTAAGAGTGGCATTTTCGGCTCGCAAGTCAGCCAGCGTTGTCAGCGCTTCATTTAACCTGCTCCGTGTCTCCTGCAGGTCCTTGACTGTGTCTTCTTGGATCTCACCGGCCCCGACGGCAATTCCTGAGGTACGGCCCACCTATGGTGAGATACATATCAAGCTAGAAGGATAATCAAGGTTTACCTCCGACAAGCTTGACAAGCCGCCACAGACGGAGAATGATCAGGAGACCCGCTAGCTCTCTTTCCCTTCCTCTGAGGACGACTTCTAGAACGAAGGTCACGATGATTACAATTGCATCAAAGAGATGCAGGGTGGAATGTGTAACGCCTGTGAGCGGGTAGTAATACTTGAGGCCGAACGCGCATAGGGCAAGTGGAATTTCGATTAGGAAGAAGGTGGTGATAGCGAGGGAGATGTGGGATAAGACGTCGAGCCAGAGGGGCGCGTCAGGGCCTTCCGGTGGGATACAACCCGGTGATAGAAAGCTGTAGACAAGGTCTGCGAGCACGCAAGTGGCGTCTATGGCGATCTATTCAAGGGAAATGCAAATCGGTTGGAACATGAAGGGGCCTGCAGGCGTGCGGGAACGCAGTAAACATATACTCGCCAACGTAATGACCGCCTTGTGGAAGGCCGGGGACTCGAGGAATTCGCCCAGTCTCGCACGCCAGTCAGAGGGTTTCTCTCGCCTGTCGTCGCGGACGACGTCCCCGCTTTCGACGTCGGGCTCGTACTGAGACGAAAGCAGCGGCTGCTGTTCTGACATGGGCAGGAGGGCGATGAGAGAGGATACGGCGTCAGGCTGCTGCGACTGGAGGCTGCCATTGTGGACGCGTCCAGAAATAGAATAGAGTAGGACCAATTCCGCTCATCTCCTCGATCACGATGTGCTCGATGCCGTTTGGTTGGCAACAACTGGTTGCTATCTCTTCGAGGCATTTGTCGCTTGACTCGAGGCCTCTCACGTCGAGTATCTTGGGCAGCGGTGGCGGACGAAGGCTGACTTGGACGTGACCGGTATGAGATGCCCCTGCTGCCGGATTCTTACAGGTGTACTGTATCGTGTACAAGCGTGTACACAGTCGATAATGCGAAATAGATCAGGGGCAACCATAGCTTCTTTTCTCGTACAGCACTGACCGATCCCGCAATGACGGGATCTCCTGAAATACAATGTCCTTTCCCTTCTCCCACTTCCACCTTTCGACCTTCTTCCTCTGACTGGCTCAGTTCCTCTGGATCCTCGTCTTCTCGAGCGCGGGCCTTGAAGGTGCTGGAGTAGGATCCTTTTCTTTTCGTTCGATTCTCTGGTTTCTTTGGTTGGTTATCGGTCTTGCTTCGATGCACCCGTGGTACATCTACAAGAGGGCGCGAGTCGTTCATTTCTGTGAGTTGTATCAGATCTGACCAAAGCTTCTCTGACCATATACGCCCACTAGCTTTGACCGCAATTCTTAGTGCGGCATGGGCTATATTGGTGTCGGTCTTCACGGCTATGTCATGGGGGATGTTCATGAAGATGGGTCGTACGTGCTCTAACTCTATTATCATAGCGTATGATTGACAGCAAGTCCGTCTAGGTGGAATCATTATAGGTCTAATATCCCTGAGTGGAGGTACAGCACTGCTACTCTTTCTCATGTGAGTATTCTGAGCTCTCGTCCACCATGACCCCTCACGAGCTAGCGATCCCGCAAGGATGATTTCGGGCTACTTCTATAAATGGGAGGTTGTGCGTCTCTTACTTTTGGTAGGCTTGCATGCTGGTAAGAGCATGTCTGTTAGACAACCGTCCGTCCACGCTAATGCTATCACCAGCTGGTGCTGTCCTGATCACCACACTGGGCTCCGGATTTCCCTGTAGCGCGTCCGGTAAGGTGGAGTCACGCGGTCGGCATGTTATTTTATTGACATGTTACAGGCAATAACTGTCAGGCGGTGCACCTCATTGTTATGGTCGGTCAGTGGGCCATAACCGGTCTCCGTAAGTGAGATATATATATTTTCAGACTCAAGGAATTAACGTGCGCTGGACTGCTGTAGTTGTCTTGTATGCTATGTTCCTCCCCGTGATCCCGTATATTCCTAGACCGGAGAAGAAAGATTACCTAGCTGAGGCAAAAGCTGCATCCGCCTCCCGTGGCCGGCATGCTCCCCACTCGTCCGTTGACTCGGGGTCAACCTTGATAGACGAAGAGAAGGGGATAGCGGACGGAATGGTGGGCGAACGAATGTACCTAGAGGTCCCGGGTTTGCAGGCAACCCTGCAAGTGTCCACGGTGAATGGGCCCCGGCCAATGGCCAGTAATGGAAGTATGAGCTCGGTATACTCGACGGACACTGGGAAGACGACGCCCAGCATGAAGTCTCCGACAACGGAGACCAATACGAGCAGGAGACCTGATCCTCCAGCATCGAGCGCACCCAGAGTCCAGTTTTCTACTCCCCCGACTCCCCGTGTTCGCCTGCCAGCTAGTCCCACTGCCAATCTAATGGCCGGCAGGCCTATGTCCCAACCGTACAACGTCCTGCCAAGGCTCAACACTGTTCCTCCCAGGTCCAGTTCGATTCACATAACCTATCCGGCAAGGTATGGGCAAGGTCAGATCCCGCCCTTGCCTCAGGGTGCTGCGAACATCAAGCCCGCTCCGCGGTCTGTGATACCTCCCACCATCATGCCGTTCGTCGCAAAGCCTCCTCCCGCTGCCACTAATCCTAGTGGTAACATGGCAGGCATAGGTGCCCAGAGGATGCGTTCCATGAACGATAGATCCGCCCCGCAACGTCCGCCGCCGCTTCGTTCTATGACCATGGGAGCGCAGCCTCCGCCACTCGGCTTCAGGCAGGACATTTACGCCCCTGAACTATCCGCGCCGTTCTACGCAGGCCGTCCTCCCCCACTGCCAGCTGGCGCTATGCGCCCCAACCCGCCGAACGCACAGCAATGGAATATCCAGGGAGGCCCCGCGGATATCCGGCGGTTCCGCTCGACGCCAAATCAGGGCGGGAGCTACAGTGATTCTGAGTCGGGGCAGGGGGTGCGTCGGGTCCCCAGGACGCCTGCAGCGGCGAGGAGACCCGGGAGCGTAGCTGCTGTCGATCCTGCTGCATGGGCGCGACTTGTCTTGGACGCGGCGAATGGGAATAGGATTTAGTCATAATAGAGCATGATCTTTCACGACCTCGGACTTTGCTGGGATATAGGACCCAGTTGTACACATGGACTCTTGTCGCATGATGCTGGGTAGTTGCTTGCGTTGATCTGTCCCGAGAGGGATTTAGCTTAGCATGTATATTTGTAGTCTCTTTGTTGCGCTGCCCTGGCTTTGCAACAGAAGCGGTAGCTATCGCAATATCGTGTGGTTGGCAATGCAAATGTATAACATGCTCAGATTGTAGTGTGGCTTGCGGCATCCGCCACAATTGCCACAAAGGACTCGATCGCCCTGACGTCATCATGCTTGAGCCAAACCGCGTCCGAGTAGGGGCGTTAAATGCTGACGAACGTGGACGGACCCAGCTCCGTTTCTCCTCTTGTCTCGTTACACTCCCAGCACTGACGAAACATGTCTTTATCGCTAGCTGCCTCACTGAGCCGGCCTTTCCGAGCCAGCCCTCTTGGCATTAAGCATAGCCTTGCGCAATCCTGCAGTAAACGGCCTCTTTGCACATTCAGCCCTCGGTTTAACCCCCCGTTTGCAACCCATGCATCCAGACCAACCTCCCTGACAAAAAGCGCGCGACCACTGATTGCCGCGACGCTGGGTATTGGTGGAGTGGGACTAGGATTGTCAGTCTTTTCGAAACCCATCTACTGCGAACGTATGTGCTCGGCATAAATCCTTGGGCCCCGATTTAACCCATAGTACGTAGCGCCCACGCCTAAGACGGCGGACCTACCACCTAATGTCGCGGAGGCATCGTCGACGGACCCGTATCCTCCACCGCCCAAGTCTGTCCTGAACGTGTACGAACTCACGTTTGGTACCGTTGCGGGTATCTGCGCCGGCGTCTTCGTCAAGAAAGGAGCCAGATTCGTCGCGTTCATGCTGGGAGGCGTCTTCGTCCTGCTTCAGGTGAGCGAGCTTGGGCCAAGTATAGGCGGCTTCGAACTCTTAACGTGATCGTGCAGTATCTTGGATCTCTTTCCGTCTTGCGGGTGAACTGGTCAAGGGTAGGGTCGCGCTTCGAGAACCTGTTCTATACCACGGATGCGACGGGGGTTAAGAAGCCGCCGAGCGTGTATTCCCTCTGGAAGTGGCTGGTGGATTTCTTGACTGCTGATTTCCAGCCGAGAGCCTCGTTCCTTGCAGGGCTGGCGTTAGGTCTAAGAATCGGTTAGATATATTTGTAGATCCTGAAAGTTATGATTTTGTAGCCATCATACGCGATACACGCACATCTTACGTGAATATGAGAGCAAGAGCAGATGAAGCCGTCTGCCAGACAAAGCAGGCGATCCGAAGTGATCAGAGGTTCACGTAATCTCAGCAGCATAAGCTTGTAGCCACGCGAGAACGATCGAACTTTTTCTTGACTGCCCGATTTGGTCAACGGAGGACTCTCAGAGGACCCCAGGCTCCTAAACCATCCGTCCTTAGCGTTCTCGCTCCTCCTTTACTAGGCGCACGTGCAGTGTTATATAATACAAATCTATTTTTAATTTATTACCGGATACAGAACGAACAAGAGGAGGAGAACGCTATAGGACGGCTGGCACAAATGTCCTCGCCGAGATCCCCGAGGCTGACTAAGCGGACGGTGGCTGAAGCCTTTCACCAGCGGTCGGCGGGCCTTCACGCAACCATTTACAACTTATTACCTTGGGATTTACCGCTCGGTGTACTTTATAGTAATGTAAAAATGTCCTAACTGAATGGTATACTCATGCAATGGTTATCAGTAGTACTGAAGGCTGAATATCCGGCTGAAGAGGCATAACGGCTATAGACAAGCCCCTCTGAGTGTCAGAGGTATACCAAAGGTATTTGCATTGGTCTTGAACTATTTTAGCACCCGTCTATATGTGTTCTGCGTGAGCTCAACGAGGTAGGTGTCGAGACGCTCTCTACATCGCCCGCCAACCGCTGGTGAAAGGCTTCAGCCACCGTCCGCTTAGTCAGCCTCGGGGATCTCGGCGAGGACATTTGTGCCAGCCGTCCTATAGCGTTCTCCTCCTCTTGTTCGTTCTGTATCCGGTAATAAATTAAAAATAGATTTGTATTATATAACACTGCATGTTCGCCCTAGTAAAGGAGGAGCGAGAACGCTAAGGACGGATGGTTTAGGAGCCTGAGAGGACCCCTGAAAATACCGATAGATGCCGGTGCCAGTCCGGACAAAAATCGCGGTCTCGAGCCCTCCATGCCAGACGCCATCCCGGTTTTACAGTCCGGACACCGGTCATGACCGAGCTACCATGCCGGTTACAGTCCGGACACGGCTGTGTGGCAAGTTGGCAACGGACTGGCCCAATGTATTTACCCTTTGTAGTACATGTATTTTAACCCAATTATGGCTGAGGTTTGTCCCAACCTGTCATTGTGTACCGTCGCGTAGCCTCGTGTAGCCCTTGTTTGCACTGTGATATATAGTTTCTAGTATGTTCTGGACTCGGATGGGGAGGAGGATGGTTGATGGGAGTGGGCGGCCATCGTGAATTCTGTCGCTTTATTGATTGCATTCGAGTCCTAGTACGATTACTGATACATTGTACAGTGTTCTAATGAGTTGATAGGCGAGAAAACCTTTTTTTCTGTTTTTTTTCAGACGCCGGTGCATTAGTCCGGACAAAAATCGGCCCCTTCGGGAGGCCGGTATTTTATCCGGACAAAAATGCGGGGGGGAGCCTCAGACAATCCAGACATGGAAATTTTGAGTCTCGCACCGGCATTTATCAGTATTTTCAGGGTCCTACTCTCAGCTATCGAGCGGTAACTCGAGCTCAACGCTCTCTGACGCTCCCCGGATCCCCTAATACTTCTTCCAAGACATGGGTCGTCGCGCTAAGAATAAGCAGGGTCCGCCTGCGCCGCTCGCGGAAGTTGCTGGCGACAACGAGGCCAGGAGACCGTCGGCGAAGAAATTGGGAAAGCGGAAGGCAGAGCCGGAGCAGGAGAGTCGTCCCGGAAAGAAATTAAGGGAAGGAAAAGAGACCACAGCGAAGGGGAGTCCGAAAAAGAGTGTCAGTTTTGCAAGTCAGAAAAAGTCCGAGGGGAAGAAGGGGAAGACGGTGAATGGCAAATCTGAAAGTAAGAAGAGCAAGGTGGTGGAGGAGAGCGACGGGGAGGGGAGTTGTGCTGGATGGGAAGACGTGGATGAAGAAGACGATGTCAAGGCTGAAGCCAAGTACGTCCCTGTCAAGTTGCTGCAGTAGCTTCAATATTCTGACTCTATAACAGGGCTCTTTTTAATGACAGCGACGACGATGATGCAGGCAGCGCCTACGAAGGCGAATGGGAGGAGTTGGAGATGGAGGGTGAAGCAGAAGAGTAAGTCCATATCACATCAATGTTCCCTGTTGTAGACTCTTACAACCCTT